GGTATCATTAGTCTTCCTGTTTTTACATGGAGCCTAGAATTACGCTGAGTTCTGTGTTTAAAACTGGGAAGTGTCAGCTTTTAAAAAGAAAAAATAACACTCAGAGCTGGTACCTGAAAGACTGTGCCTCCTTAACCTGCCAGAAACGTCTCATTAGTCAGTTTTCCCATGTTGCTTTTGTAAGTGTTCGTTGTTTGTGAACTAGAGGATTTCCTCAGGATCTGGGTTCTTCCACAGATCACTAAATGAGCATTCCTGGTAGTAATGAGCTGTGCTAATGAGGGGGGTATTCAGTGGGAGAGGAGCAATGGCCATGGCACTCACCAATTTATGCATCAAGTCTCGCTGCAGACATTAGCAGAAGGATGGGTACACAACCACCTTGTTTGAATATAGGATTGAAATACCTGAGTACTGTCGAGCTGTTGCAATTCACATTCTTTTTGAGCCTTTGTTGAAAAGGTAGGGCTGCTGTGTTCTTGCACTGTTTGGCTGCATTGCAACAAACCTGGTAACTGATGCCCAGGCATTTTCTATTGATGCGCAGATCAAATGACAGTGGGGAGTGGCTTTCTGGGTGACGTCCCGTGTACAGTGATGTCAGCCAAAGATTTAAAAAATTCAGGTGTGGCATAATCTGCCAATTAAACCGATTAGTACTCGGGCTAACTCTTGAGAGGGAGCACTGTCTCTACAGCTCTGCTTATTGAAGTATTTTATTTAGTCCTTTTGCCTTACCTAATACTAGACTTCTACCTAGTACCTTCACTGAAGCAAACTGTGAGCTAACGTAGGGCCATGCTGAGGGCTATGTGCTAGCTCTCTGGCCATCTGAGAAATCTGCTGCTGGCTCACAAGTGGTCCTGACTGCTTGGAAGCTGTGGCCCTGGAGAAGTTCTGCGACCCCGGTGGGATCGGGATGGAGTGTCTCGCGGCATTGCTGGCAGAAGTTAGAGCTAGTCAGGAGGCGATGGAGGCTGGGCAGAAGGAGCTGAAGCGTGACATGGAAACATCTCAAAAGGAAATCAGAACAGTGTTAGCACTGCAGAGGAGTCAACAGCAGGTGAAAGAGGAGCTGAAAGCAGAGGTGAAGTCCAGTCACTTGGATATAAGAAATGTGCTCGAGGAAATCCAGCGAGTAAGGGAAGAAATGGAAGCTCGGTTAAATACTCAGGCTGATCTGGTCTTACTGATCAAAGAAGTGAGCACCAACCTGACATGCGTAGACAAGGCTTTCCAGAAGATGGAAGAGAGGCAGAAAGTTCTTACCAGCCTGCACCTTCCTACAAGAGAAGACATCGAGCATGGATTTTTCTTTGAGAATTGCTTGCACAAGATGCATGTGAATTTTCAGAAGCCCGTGGAAGCTAACGGTTTGGATGAGGAACATGGAAACATGGTGGTTAGGGGTAAGACCATGGTGATCATAGCGCAGGGATTTGGGCTTGTCATGTGGTTTCTTTTGGCTATTTGCAATGCTTGTAAGAAATATCATTTTTTTTCTTAGAAATTAAACCTCTTGTAGGCCTTCATAGTATATGATAAGCAATGGAAGGCTTTGATTTGGCTCTGCCAACCAAAAAGTGGGTGCCGGATGTTTCAGCTGGCAATTTAGCAGCAGCACACAAGATCGAGAGGCTCAGGAAAGCAGCAGGACCTGGCTAGTTGAGTTAGGCAGCCGCTCCAGTACTATGCCAAGTGCTGTGCAATGCTGAGGCTCCTCAAAGCAACTGTATGGAACGCACCCCAGTGTGTGAGTGGCTCTGTATTTCTTGCGTCTGATTACCTGCTACCCAGAGAAACTATGCATGGGAAATGGTTCTCCTTATGGAAAAACTTGGGATGGGCCTAATAGTCTTCCCAAAGAAAAGTCTCTCCAGCTGCTGTCCATGCAGTGACATCAGAGGGAGTGGGAGGATTCCTGGACCTTTTTCAAGGTCATAGGATATTCTTTTTTGCCAGCAAGATACTGAATCTTCTGTGACTGATTCAGTGATCAGAAGGCTCAATCTTTACAAAACTACTGCTGCTATTTTTATGGATTAAAAAAAATAATAGTAATAGGACTCTATATGGTGATTGCGTATGGTTGCTGTGCTGCAGGTAGTACTTGAGTATCTGTGACTTACAGTCTTCAGAAATTGAGCATTTTAAATAGATTGGGTACTGTGTTTTCTAGACTGTTGGAGAAGAGTCCACAAGGGGAAAATCTGTTTTACTTTACAAGTCTGACTTGTGTAAAGGTGGCAAGTAAAAATGGTGAAGTGAGGAGGACTTAGGCTGGTGACTGATACTGTCCTTAACTTAGAGTCCATCGTTGATGTGTTGTATCCATAATTAGACTTGATGCCTTTGTTCTAACGAAATCATGGCTTTTGTTTTGACATCATAGTATGGCTTCTATACAAATCTGGAAACAATCTGTCATTGCCCAGGGGTACGCAAGCCATAAATAAGCATTGGAGTGCTGCTGGCGTTAATCCGTAGAGGCAGCTCATGCTACAGAGAGTTGATGCTAGCAGAGAAATGCTTTTCAACATCTAAAGTGGTTCTGCAGAGCACATGCCTGTGATAAAATTGTTAACAGGAATGTCACTGAATTTCTCTTGTGCACATTTTTTTTGTTCAGCTTTTTTTAGTTCAGTATCTAGGGTTGGCTTGGATGAACGTTTGAAGGAGCTTCTCTGAAGAGGCTTGGTGGTCTGGGCACCACAATAAAAGCAGTGGTGTGAAACTGGCAAACTGATAAAGCCAGGCTGTGGAGACAGTGGGTAGTTGGAGTCTGTTGTCACTTGTGGTTAGCTGTTGTATCAGGGTACTTATTTAAACAAAATAACTTCAGTATGTAACAGTATCTGATGTAATTTTTTTCCCTTAATAAAAATTGTCTGCAACACTTCGTACAGATGGGAAGCAGCTTTTAGTGCTCTGTTGGGGTCCTAACAAATAATGTTAGTCACTTCATACAGTGAATTAAGTGTTGACATTACTATCTTTATTAGTAAATTTATCCCGTACCCTTAAATCAGCAATAGTGCTCCAATTCTCTGTTTATTGTAAGGGAAGCTTTTAGGGAGGGAGATGGAATAAATGAGAGAGTAGGAGTACATGAGCCAGTTGGGCAGGGAAGGACTGAATGTACGCCTTTGTTCTCTAGTCACTGCCCTGTTTTGCTTCCTTTCCTCCCCTTGATTATTGCCTCTTGTGATTTTTTTATTTTATTTTATTTTTTTTTAAGAACCTTCAGAAGGTGACCAGTATTTGCTGGAAGATCGCTGGGAATCTAACAAGATAGCTCTCAGATCTGAACCCTCTTCCATTTATAGAGGTGTAAATGAAACAATGTTATGTCTGCACTGAGAGAAAAAAAACTGCCCCCATTAGGTAAAATGGTGGTAAAAACGTACCTGGAACTGGCAGCCAAGCTTGGTCTGTTTGCCCTACTGATTAGAATTTGGTTTTTGATTTGGGTTATGTTGATACCTTCAACAGCTCTACTATTAAACAGCAAGGCAGTATGTTTCTAATAGAAAATACACCCTGTAACAGTCAGCATCTCCTGAGCAGGAGTGCAGTGAGATCTCCAATAATGCAAGAGTGCCCAAACATTATAAAGCAGTAATGCTGACATTTCTCTAACTAAGGGAGGACAGGAAATCTTGCCTGGAGATGATTTATTTGGAAAATTCATAGTCATAGGGGGGCCCTTCACACGCGGCTCAGCAAGAGGCACAGATGACATCAGTATTTTGAACAGAAAACTTTTTCAAATGTTCTGAAAATGAGCGAAGTCTATGCAAGACTGGTGTATAATGCAACAGTTGATGTGTCAGACTAACATTAACTGAGAGTCACAGGTTTATTTTTAATATTATTAAGTTATGTGATTGAGGCTTTCACTGCTGGCAATATGCAAGAGTCACTTGACAACCTTCATACCAGGGCTTCAGAAGGGATTCATTAGCAGCTACTTCTCGTTCATTAATTTGTCCCTGTTTTTTCCACATGTTCTTGTTTTTCTTTTCTCAGAATCTCATCTCTCAGGTTTTATCGCTTTATCTGGAAGAAATCTTGTTAAGTTGACACTGTACAAAGTAATCTGCTCCGATGTCTTCATTAAAATGCCAAGGGATATTTATGTATTGCGTCAGCCTTCTATTGCGAAAGTGTTTGCTTGTCCTGTGTGTGATCAAAAGACTGGCCCTATCTGCACTGCAGTACTGTATCTTTTTGGTCTGAAGGCAGCAGAGAAACCTGTAACCTCGGCAGTGTTTACGAATCCAGGGCTGGGTTATGTAATGCGGTTTCCTCTGGCACCACACAATTGTGTACTGTGAAGGGACTGAGGTTGCAACATAACTGAGAATATTAAGTGAGCTATGTAATTCTTGGACCGTGAAAAGCAGCAGGGCAAACTCAAAATATGTTACATTTTAGAGCATTTTTAAGTATCATCTGTGAACTAAATTGCTGATGCTAGAAACTTGTTGGAAGACCTTTGGGTAATGGAGCTCAAACCTGAGCTGTAGAGTGGAGTTCTTGCAGTAAAATTTTTTTGGAAGGAAGAAAGGAAAAGATCAAGGAAATGTGGGGAAAATGGATTTGTATTCAGTGCTACCTTAGAGTTTAGAAAATATGAAATACATGTTGCAAACGGAAGTGGTTGACTCATCTTAAGGTAGAAACAAGTCAGTGGATGGGTATGATTACAGAAATCTTGCATTTTATGTAAACGTTTATTAAAATCACAGAATGAAGATTATGCTGAAAAGAAAGCCACAATACACGAAGGTAAGGACAAAGAGCAAAACATTGTACATGAGGTTATGGTTCTAGAACCCAGCCTGTCAGATGATTATGTCTGATCCACAGTGCTGTGGAACAACCCTTTCTCCTAGTTAGTGTTTCAGGATGAGTTTAGATCTATTTTCTTTTGTACCTGCCTTTAAATTTTCATTAGACATAAAGTACAGATTAACTTGTTGTTGTTTTTGTTCCAGTTGACAAGGGCAAGCAGCGGAGTCCAAAAAGCTCATGCATACAGACACAGACCTCCACAGATGCGCATTCACCTGGCACAAAAACAGCTGAGTTGACACAGTACAAGACAAAATGTGAGAACCAAAGTGGAATCATTCTGCAGCTGAAGAAATTCCTGTCAAGCAGCAACCAGAAGTTTGAAGCATTGACAATTGTGATCCAGCACCTGCAGTCTGAGGTAAAAAAAAAAACAAAACAAAACAGAAGTCTTGCAACTAATCCATTCTGACTTTAATTTGTTGGACTGTTCTCAACAATGGCTTCTGAATATATTATACACTGATACATAATGTCTGCATTTCCACTCCAGTTGCTGCATTCCTGTATCTTCTTTCTCCTATGATTCCTTTTCTAATGCGATACATTGCAAGTTCCTATATTAACTATATGCCTTCAATTAATGGTGTTATTATAACAGAATGTTCTCATGTTACTGCCATTTTAAATAACCTTTAATGTGTATTTGTAGCCTAGAAATAATTTCTAGTAAGTTGCAAATAAATCAAGTACAGATGTGGTTACCTGTATTTAATGAAATAAGGGTGGCCACTTGCTCTATAGTTCCTATCCGTCTTCTTGTGGAACTTCCAGAAAACTTGCTCCAGGCATCAGTTGGACAGAAACAAACAAAAAAACTCAATGTGTTTGACTGCCTCTTTGCAGCTTCACATCTTTTTCTGAAAAGAAGTTTCTAAAAGTTTGTATTCCTTCAGGGCTGAGCACCTCTTCAAGTATATACTTGAAGTTCTGCCCCTGTAGGAAAGTCTAGTTTGAAGAGAAAATCTGCATGACCTTGCTTTGTTATCTGATATTGGAAAGAAGGTTAGATAAAGAGTGGATATGCTTTTCAAATAATTGAGAATGAAGTGCAGAGTACTGACTATTGAATCCTGCATTATTGGTAGTATCTTTACAATTATCAACTTCATAAAAAAAAAAAATAATAATAATGCACCTGTAAAAAAAATAATAATAATGCACCTGAAATTTAGTGGAGTTTATCTTATGTGTGTTAGTGTTTGCTTGTCCTAGTCTGTTCGACATACAGAATGACTTCAGAAGTTTGATAATGCACTAGAGTGTCGGTCTGCTTTGAAAGATTTTGAGAGAAGAGAAATCTCAAGTTAGGGGATAACAGTTTTGGATTTATGCTGCAACAATCGATGCAGACTTTACTAGCAGTTCATTTTGTATTTATAGCTAATGTTCCAAGATTGATACCAGTTGTATTTTAGCCATTCCCATATGTAGTGATTTCATCCAATGTATAAAAATCACTGAGTTGTCTTAGTATGCTGCCAGAAACACAGCATTCTCTTCTGCTGGGATAATATCTGTTCACTCTCCTTTCAACTAAAAACACTGCATTATTGTTAAGTTCAAGTCTGGTTCAACTCAGAAAGAACAGTTGCTTTTACTGAGCTTTGTGAGGTTGGTTTGTTTTAGTTTTTTAAACTCTTGATTGGAACATTTTTCTCTAATATAATTTAAGATCTTCAAAGCAATTTGGTTCAAGCTTTTTGGGTGCCTGTCATCTAATACAAACTTGTGAAATTTGGACTGCTAAACTTCTGTTCAATCTTCACGATACTTTATAATAAGCACCTAGATTTCTGGTAACTTTTATAATTAAAATAAAAATCTTGGCCCAGGTTCTTTCAGATATTTTGTATTGCAATTTTATTTTATTTTTTTAAAGAATACCTAACCTGTGCATCTTTACCTGATATTTTAGTAAGACGCCTGTCATATGTACTTCTTCCAGGCTGTTTTATGGTGTATTTACAGCCTAGGCATTTTTTCCAGGGATGGTTATTGAGGGGAAAAAATAAAGTATGTAAGATTTAGGGAAGAGAAAAGAACTTCATGGGGGAGAATAATTTTTCTGCCTCTACTTTTTTGTTATTATTTTGCATGTGGAAAGAAAAAAATATGTCAATTATATAAATTAAAATCAATAAAATAAATTATAATCATTAAAATAATAATAAAATAAAATTTAATTATTAATTTAATTAAAATTAACAAAAGCATATCAGTTATATAAAACCAGTAATCTAGGAGTGTTAAGTCAAAGCACTTGTAACTGGGCTAAAAATTGATGTGTTGATGTACCTGCATTTGTTTCAGGTATTGACGTTCTCTTCTTTCCCAGGATAAGACAAGTCCTAGGTGAAGAGGCAATGTCTTACTGTACTTAGTGTAGGACTGAAGAGGACATTTCTGCCATGGTTGGTGTAAGCAGTACTCAGAAATCTGATGAGTAGCTAGGGGAAATATCCTTCAAGATTTCTGCATTTTAGAGAAGACTGAAGAGTGGTCTTGTTGTGTTTTGGTTGTTTTTTCCTTCCTTTCTGAAGTGTGCATTTTGGTCTAGCTAACTTAATCCAAACTGGCTGTGCATTTATTTTTTGGAAGTGTGTCTCAGAGATTGCTTCAATGTAGTTCTCAAATTTTGGGGGTAAATTCAGGGAGAAACTTAGAGGGTTTAACTCAAGCTGAAAATCACTGCCTTAACTACTGCAGGGCCAGCAGAAAGTAGCTTCAGCTTTTATGAAAGTAGTTTTCATTTTTTTGGGGGGGAAGAAATCAACTAATCATAATCTTTTTTATTATTATGTGAACAACAAGGCTGTGCTTCCCACTCCTCCTACTTGAGCAAGTGTGAAGTAACACAGTACAGCTTGAGCTGATAAAACAGTATGCTGTCACCAGAAGAAGGTCCTGCTGTACGCTCCTCTGGTGCTGGTCTGTCCGTGATTCAGCTTTCTGCTGCTAGAAAGCTACTCTAGCCATAGAGAGAGCATTTCTTGTCCAAATAAGTGACATGAACCATTCTTCTGGTCAGAACCAGTGCAAGGGGGAGGCAGGGTTGAGGACAGGCTGCCTGGATAGATAGAGAAAAGAGTGAGGGTGAGCTGCTGTAGCACTTCAAGGCTGTATGTTGCAGCTAGAGCCTCTTGGCAAAACCTGCCCCAGCCTTTCCTCTATTCCCGACGGGAGGAGGAACTGACAAAGCTGAAGTTACTGGGAGAAGTGAATCAGCTGCTGCTATTTTTTTCTTCTCTTCAAGAGGTCCCAGATGCAATTCTGCACCAAAATTTTAAATTGCTTCTTATGAGCTCATGTGAAATGGGATAGCGCTGGCAAAATGAGAATTTGCTGGCAGTGACTTCTGTCAGAAATGCAGCCAGCCCTTCTGGAGCAAAGTCGTGAGGCTGCTGTCTAAGGGTTAAACAAAATTGTGTAAGGCTGCTGTGCTGTTTCCAGCTGAGCTCACAAAACTCTGTGTGAGCTCAAACGTGTTTGTTACAAGCATTATCATGGAGCTGTCAATATTAACAGCTGGCTCTGATAATACCTCTAACACTGGAGCTGTTAGGGTTTGTCCAGATGATTTCTGTGGTTAACTGCTTCTACCAAGACTGTTCTGAATTTAAGCCTCTTAAAGGTGGGCCAGTCCACCCTGATAAAACTGTAAAACCAGATTTCAACTGAGCAGATCCTGTTGCAATGAATTAGCACTAGATTGAAACCCTGGTGGCAACCTGAGTACTTGATGGTAAGGAACACCATGTCCAATGAGAATGTCAGACTGTACCAAGATTTTTCTTTGCTAGATAACTGTGTGTACGCTAACTGAGCGTTAAAAGTACGTGTCAAGCTGCAATCTTATCAAAACAGCAAGCTAGTCCTTCTAGACGTCTGTTTTCCCTCTAGTCCCCTGGTAATTCCTATGGCTCCATAACTCTTTTCCTGTTTTTTTAAGTTCAGACAAGAGAGGAAAAGTGACAGTACAGTGGAAATGGGCTTACTGAGTGCAAAGGAAAGCCGGCTTCCTTTAACCTTTAACTACGTAAGCTCTGAAATGTGCACTAGACTTGAGTGTTAATTTTGCATGTTTTGACTTTTTTCTTGTCTCTTTAGTAGTAGATGCATTCAGAGAAACTCTAGAGATAATATGGTTTAAGACTTCTGGTGTAGGTGAGGCTGTGGCTGGCCGTGGTGGAGCCTGTCAGGCCTGCGGGCTCGCACTTGTGTCTCTGCGGCCTGGTGCCTGCAGGCCCTGGGGAGAGCCAGTTCAGGAACACCATGAGGAGCACACAGAGAGGAATCGGTCTGTCCGTACCTGAAGTTTTATGGGCATGCTCTTGTGAAGTGGTTAACTCTGGGAAGGAGTGAGAGTGAGAAACCAGCAGCGCTGGTGTGAGGCAGGGATGTGTGCCTGAGAGGCCCTCAGCAGCACAACCTCTGGTTAAACCACCCCAGCTTTGGGGTTGGGAGATGTTTGTTTTGTCTGCACAGTACTGGCTGGGTCTTATATTTGGTTTTGGTCACTTCTAAAGCTGTTCAAGAAAGATTTAGCTTTGAAGTGAAGAGGACATGTATTGCTGTTGTGTGACTCAAACTGCTTTGTGAGTATTGAAAGTGTGAATTGACAGCTGCTGCCTTCATATTTTCGTATTTTAATGCATACGTTTTAATTGCCACATTTGGAAGTACTCAAGTCATTAAAAAAACAGTCAGTAAAATGTTTTATTAATACCCAGTTCTGTTGTTTTTACTTTAAGAAATTAAATCAAGTCCTTAAGTCCTTCAAGAGCTTTTAAAAGACTCAGGCATAGAAGCGAGCTTCAAAATTTTGCCAGTGCCATGGAGCTCCAGAGATGAACAGAAACAAAGCTTTACTGCTTTTCTTCTCTTGGTGTACTTGAGAAGACTGGAATTTACAATTCAAATTTTACTTTGGAATGACTGGGGCGACTTCTTCAAGAAGTCACCTTCACAGAGGGAATGTGATTTGCAAGGCTCCAGAGCCTTGGCAAAATAATATGGGGATACCATTAATTGTGGATGCGATACAGGAAGCAATGTAAGTAATGAGCTAGAAATTGTGTGGCTGAGATGGACTTCGGTATTTCTAGGTGGAAATAAAAATCCACCATTAATACATGAGCTACTCTAACTGGCATTTCCTGACATGTAGATGACTGTGAGAGTCAAGGTACTAGTCTTCTGGGGAATTTCCTAGCACTTATTTTTTTTCCATCTTGGAATATGCAAACATGTTGATCGGAATAATTTGTGCTGGCCTTCATGGAAGCTCAGCAGAAAATATTTATATTTATTATATGAGGAAATGCATACCCAACTTAAGGAGCAGAAGTACATATTGCATCACTAAACCCCAAACCCTTAGTGGTAAAAGAAAGTTTTGGAACAGTTGGATTTTTGGCACGTACATCGAAAATACATTGGCAAGGCCATTGTTAAGCACAGCTGTCTGAGTTTAAATTTATAGTTTTGACTTTCCAGACCCTAACATCAAACCTGTCTGGTTCTCATTAAGATTCTCATCCAAAATGCACTTCTGCTCATTAAATCTGGCTTCCCAGAGTATAGATATCTCTTTTTACACGAGACAGAATGTAAGGATATAAGATCATGTTTGTTTCTTCAGATTGAAAAATAAACAAACAAGTAACCCAGTCACTTAAAACAGAAATCAAAAGATAATATCTTGATTCTAAGGAATTCAGATATATTCTGTTCTGTAAAAGATAGCATTTGAGAGAGAACACAGTAGCTTACCCTTTATAGCAAACTTAGGCTCTGGCAGCTTGTATCTTACAGGTAGCTGTTGTGGAAAGCAAGGAAGTTTAAAATTATTCTCAAGTTCTTTGTAGCATTTGACTGCTAATTGACAATAACATTTTTGGCAACATTGAAATTTTGTGAGCTATTAACACCCAGGAAATTAACTACTGTGAGACCTGGCTCTGGTAAAATAGCCATCCAGCTCTTAGAAGACACTTCAGTTACCAAATTTATTGGGTACTGTTGGGGATTCAGAAGGGGTGATGGAGAGAACTGAAAGTTCAGCCCTGTAGCTAGTCCTAGCAAAAGGTGTGCTGAGAAAAATACATCTTTGACTTTAAAATCAAGTTTCATGTTTCAGGTAGCCAGTATTGCCTTCCCTGACAAAGAAACTAATTCCTTGTTATTTCTCCTAGTTCCTAATTTTTAAGGAAGATGCACAGTTGATGACAGTAGCAAGCTAGATGTAACTATTGCAGATTTGAAGTAAAAGGGAGGGGCTCATGGGAGAAAGAAAATAACATCTTTGCTTCTTGTTTTCCTCTTTTTATACTGCATTTTCAGATGAAATTCTAAACAGCCTTAAAAACAGAAGGCCTTAGAACAAATACTGTAGTGTTTTGCTCAAGCGTAGGATCTCTTATCCTAACCTTTAAAATTTTTGATAAAGGTAATTATAATTCTATAGATGCGAGAATTTAAGTTATGGCATTGCGGTTTGTCAAGCTACATCATATCTGTTCAAGACTTTGACTTTGTCATATGCTCAGATGAGATGAATTGAAGCAAATTTGGGAAAACACTGAAAAATTAAGTAATTGAATTGGTGAACTTGCTTATGAGATGAGAATTTTAACAGGGAAGAAGAGAGTCATTCTGTGTGACATAAAGTTAATATTACAGTTCAGGAATCTTATAGAGTAGGAAATGGGCTGTAAAGTTAAATAGCCCATCTTACTACTACATCTGGGCCTAACTTTGTAAAGCTATTGCATACAGGTGGCCATTTTTCAAAATGGGAAGACAGATGCTTATTCTCTCATATGAGCATAAGATCCTGCCTAATGTTTGTACAAGTGTAGAGCCCACAAGTTCAAGATCCATATTAAATATTAAGTGACTCACAGGAATCCTGTCTGGCTGGTTCTCTGCTTTACTGTTTCCCATACTAAACATCGGGGAACAAACATTTGATGCTTCATAAATGAGAGAAGTCAAATGTTGGAAGTTACAGGGAGTCCCTCTTAGCTAATCGTAGAAGAGTTGTAGTCTGAGACTTAACTGGGTTCTGTTTGAAATAAGAAGTCAAGGGCAGGTGAAAATTGATTGCTTATTTTGTCTGATAAGAAGGCAGCACACTAACAGTGTCAAGAGTAATTTGGAAATAGTCATTTCACTGTAGGTTGGTTGATTTGAGATGATTAATGGCATTTTCACTTTACTGCAGTAATAGTCTGGTCCTCCATTCAAAAATATACCTGGAGAAGGGGGTTAAAGGCTGTGTGTTGTGATACCTGGCTAACTTTAGCTTGCTTTTGCCTCTGAGTACTGTGAAAGAGATGGTATTTCAATATTTAAGTGGGTTGAGAATGGGTGAGTTTAAAAATAAATAAATAAATAAATAAATGACAATTTCTAAAATTGCTGACTTCTAATTAGAAGACTTGCTTAAAGGACGAGGAAGGAACAGGAACTGGTAGAGGTAGTCTGCCATAAGGAGCAAAGTAATCAATGCAAATGTAATTTTGCAGAGCGGATATGAATGGCCCTTTTGTTACCCCCGCATAACTACCTCCGAGCTATAGCTGATGCCACGTGAGTGACTGGAGTTTATACAGAGACATGACTCAGCTTCCACGTTAAGGCCAGTGATCATACTCATCTTTTCACTTGTGTTGGAGAATTGCTTACAAGTAACCTTTGGGTATCTTGAAATAAATAAATAATGTTTCTCTCCGAATTTGGTTTAGGAGTAAGTGCTTATGGTTTGACACTAAACAGCTTTCAAAATCAGGCTTTCTTTTCCCAGAATAAAATTAATTTGACCCTATATCTGACAGTGAAACACAGTTGGGTGCTTCCTTTCTTTGCTGCACTCATGAATTTCTGTCTTACAGACTCTGGACAAATTTTATTTAGTCTGTTTTAACAAATATGTTTTTAATATGGAACTTTGTCCTCCTCTCACGTGTGTTGACTCCTGAAATGACTTGTTTAGGAAGTGTATCAGTGATAGAACGAGAAGGCTGATCCGCAGCCTTGCAGATCAGAGCTCTTTCCACCTTGCGGTTCTGCCCATAACAGGTCTAACTGCTGCTGACTCAAAGCCTCCTGCGCATTTGCTGCCATGGGGTGCTTCGTAATGGCATCATCTGAACCTTTCTCTCCCTTCTGTTGGTAGGGACCACTCCGTATCTCCTCCTTAAGAGGAGAACACCCCAGTATAGGCAGGATATGTTCGTGTCACAGAAAAAGCCCCACAACACGACCCGATTTTCTGCAAATACTTCAGGACCTAGAAGTCAGTTGTGACTGTTCCAATGGGAAATGTATCAGTACTTTGCAGAGTGCAGCTGGAGCTATGCGCCAATAATACTTGTTCCAAACCTGATAGGCAATATGTGGGAGGGAATTTGCAGCGCGAGGCTTCTCATGAGAACAATTTGGAAGATTTGGGGAACACCGGCCGCTGGGGAAATGCTTGCTTGTAGCTCAGCTCTTGGGGATATCTTGTGGCTCTCACAGGCGAATATTCGGCCAGGAAGGTTGGCTGCTGGTATGCTCGGTGCTAGATACCTTTTGTGTTCATTGTGGAATGTGGACGTTTGTGGAGCTTCCTGCTTTTAAGGCAGAGGGATGGCAGCTTCTGAGCCGTTTGTGTCCTCACTGTTGTCCTTCTCCTAAGATGACACCGGGCTGGTCTGTTGGAATTTAGAGCTGCAGCAAAACCAGCTGGCTGCCAGGAAAAAGCACTCTTGAGCCTGTAACTGCCAGTAACAAAAGCATGAATAAGACATCTCGTAATTTATTCCATTCCTGACTTGTCATTTTTGTCATTTTGAAACTGTCACGATCTCCACCCTTTACCTCGTACCTTTTTTCCCCTGCTTTTGTGTTTCTCCCTGGCTGCAGCAGAGCACATCTCACCTTCCCAGGTGTCCTTGCTGTTGGGCACACATCCCCCTGGAGTTTCCTGACAAATCCTCAAAAGCTGCGAAGGATTTTTTTTTAACTGCTTAATCCCTCACATAACAGGAAATGTCCAGGTCTCCTGCTTTATGCTGAGCATCGTTTTACAGCACCTTACAAGAGAGGTGCACCCGAATGGTACCACCTGGGGCAAAGCTTTTGTCCCCGAGCTCTGTTCTTGTGGCTGCCCACTGCCTCCATGTTTGTGGTAGCATAAATGCTTTTGCTAAAGCTAGCCTGGCTGCCTTGCACAGCTGTAACAGATTCTTTTGAAATAAGAGAAGTAGGTACCCAGCCATCCTCCATCATCTTGCCATAAGCTCATAAATTTTGCCAGAAACAGCTTTAAATTGTTACTAAGAGCCTCCTTGAGTCTGTGACAGCTAACTGAGGATTGTGCTGATGGAGAAATCTGGCAATGATAAAATTATATGGAGAAATGAGCAAGGCCAAAACTGCTTGATCTTGCCTTGTGGAGCTGTTTTTTCGGTTTCTGGTATTGATTTTCACTACAATCTTGTGAAGTATGAGCTAGAAGGTACCTGCATAGCTGTCTGGGAATGAAATACTGAAGATGGCCCCTCCTGGATTTTGGGAGTTGTGTTTGGCATTTTACCAGGTGGCTGGCAGTCCCGATGGGAAGCCTTCTCTGAATGTTTTCTTTCATGGGGGTCATGGGGCATGTCTGCGTGGATTTCTTGCTTTGGGAAACCACGAGTGGGCGCGTTGAAGGCTGAGAGCTTACGGATCAACAGCACCAGGAAAATGCAAAACGGTGCGAGAGCAGCGGGAAGCAAGGAGCTCCCAAATGAGAGATTGTGCTCAGGAGAGCAGTGTCTCCTATTCTGCTTTGAGGTTTTGGCTTCTGGTTGGCCAGTCGGTTAATTTGATGTGGAAAGGACACAGAGATCAGAATAGCTTTAATTAAAACCAGACATGAGCCATTCTGTGGGCCATGAGGCAGGCCTTTTGGAGGCACCAGCCCGAACGGCGGCCTTCCCGAGGGGCCTGCCGCACCGTGCGGCCACCGGCCCGAGGGGGAGGCAGGTGGTGATCAGGTCAGGGATGATTTTTTGGGTGAGAATTACAATCAGGGATGACTATGTGACCCAAGAAGTGGGGAGAGGAACCCCCTCAGAGGCTCCCTGTGGCGTGCGCCCTCCTGGAAGCCCACAGAGGCAGGCGGAGCGGGGCTTGGCATCGCTGGGCTTTGCCCGGGGGCTTTCTGTGTCGGGTGGCTTTGTCCCCCAAGGTTTTAGTGCGGCGTGGCCGGGCTCTGCCCGTGTTTTTACCCCGAGGGGGGCAGCCACCGGCTGCATCACAGGTGCTGACAGCAGCAGCTGTGTCCCGGAGGCACGGCGCTGTCACTCGTGCGGCTGCGAGGGGCGCCGCCGCCTCGGGGCGCCCGTGCCCCTGCCTGCCCGAGCCCCGGCGGCTCGGGGCCGGGGCGGGTTTATTTTCTTTTTCTTTCCTTCTTTTTTTTTTTTTTTTTTTTTTTTTTTTTTTTTCCCTCCCGGTGTTCCCTAGCGGAAGCACAAAGCCAGCGGCTCCGGGCCTCCCGCTCCTCTCTCTCCTCCGCGATTTAAAGCCCGAAAAGCGGCGGCTCCCGGCTCCGCCACCCCCCGCAGCTCTTCCCCCCCTCTCCCTCTCCCCTCCCTCCCTCCCGCGGGCGGGCACCGATCGCAGCCCGGGGCTCGGCAGCGGGAGGCAGGCGCTGCCCGAGGGATGGGCTGCTCCGGCAGCAGGCTCTGCACCTACCCGCCGTGTGCCGCAGCCAGGGTAACGCCGCCGGGCTCGCCTGGATCGGGCGGGGATGCGGGGTGCGGGGTTTGGGGGCGTTTGGGGGTTTTTGGGGTGTTTTTTTTTGGTAGTGATGCTGGGGAGCTGGGCGCGGCGAGGGGAGGAAGGAGCTGGCAAGGGGAGAGAAGAGGGGGGTCCTGTGCGCCCCTCCTGGCTCTCTGGGGGTGCGGGGCGATGCCCACCCCGTAACGCACCCCGCAAGGTGCCCTGCCCGCCTTGGGCACTCCTGCGCCCTTGTCAGCCATCGGCTGCCTTGTGCCCAGGGCTCCCGGCGCTCCACCCATCATAAAGTGTGCAGGCGAGTGCTGCGGAGCAGGATTCAGATTGCTGTGGTATCCTGGAATAAAAATAATAATAATAAAAAAACAACCAACGGAGCTATTATTTCGTTTTAGAGTACAACTTCCTTAGCGACAGGAGAACATCTGTGTGTTTGGGAACGGTGGGGCTGTTGTCCTACATGATTCATGTCTTGGCTTCTTGCTCCTGCCTCTTGTTTTGCTGCAGAGCACATCGAAGTTGATTATTGGAAGGTGCCCTGTCCAGGTCGCTAGTAACCGGTGTTTGGGTTTGTTTGTTTTTTCTCCTACAGAGGGAGGAAGCACTGAAACAACACAAAGAGTTATCTCAGGAGCTGGTTAACCTTCGAGGAGAACTGGGTAAGAATTTATTTATCTTATTAATCTCAGTGAAAGCACAAATGGGGCAGACCGGATCTCTGCAAAGACAGATGCCGTGGCGTTGTGATGGCAGGCATTGAACTCCCTGCCTGAGTCCTGCTCAGATGCTGCATCGCTGCATTCGGAGCCTCGGCAGCGTGACCCCAGGTTCACCGAATCCCTGGCACAGAGCTGCCTGTGCCTGGGGAGCCTCCTCAGGAAACACGCATCTGATGACCACAGAACTCGCTTTCAGAAGATGGGGGGTGTCTGGCAACGTGCGCACTGTCTGAGCCCCCACTCTAGAGGTCTGCAGCAAAAATCCATAAAGCTGTGCAATACGCTGCGCAAAATTCGCATTTTGCATTAGTGACTTGTAGGTGAATGAGTGGGGAATTAATAGAAGGCAGTGGTGTCGGGCTAATGAGATTACATCTTTGAACTCATCCTAGCGGACAGCTATAATATGAAATTGAGCTGTAATGTGCAAGGGTTGCTTTTGCCAACTGTGAAGCTTGATTTAACTGCATTAATGGCAACTTCATCTAACTTGTTTGAACTCAAAGCAGGATCAACTTGTGGAGTGCAAAAAGTCATTGAATTAAACTGAGGGTGCTTCAAAATGAAACTAGAGTTTTATAAAAAGCCCACTTCTGTCAGGATGAAGCCCCTTTAAATAGAAAAAAAAAAAAAAAAACAACCTTCTGAAAGCAGAAGTGAGGAGTGCAGTGGTTTCAGATATATCACTTATTACTGAGGAGCCGAAGTGTTTGTTTTCACATGCTTTGGAAGTTGAGTGTTGTCTCAACCAAAGTGGAGGGTAGGTCTTGTTCTGTGCAGGTGGTGCACTTAGTGTTCAGATTTATTTATTAGCACTGATTAGTAGGGCGGGCAACTCCTGTGACTAATTAGAGTTGAAAGCTTGATGGGGAGGCTACCCCCAGCTGAACCAGCAGAGCACAGCTTCTCCTTGTCACTGTTACTGGTGTTCAGTTGAGAGCTTATTGCAAAATGCAGCTTTCTGGGAGCTTTACTTGGTGTTGTGTGAATTTGTGGTGTGTGAGCAGCACAAGCAGCAAGAGCCTTGCAGCCTGGGTAGGTGCAAGAGAGTACCAAAGGTACCAAACACACCACAGAAACATGTCAAGCTTTCTTTCCTGAAAGTTCAACACTAGAAAGCTGGGGCTTTGCTAGAGCTTAGTGCTCAGCAGCCTCTCCCATGCTGCAACCTTTCACCTTTCTGCTGATGAAGTGTCCAGGTTGCACTGTAGGAGCTGCTTTTGAAGGAGCCTTGGGTCCCTCTGGCCTCGTGTCCTTGTGCCGGTGCCTGCCTGGAGCCTGCTGAAGGCTGGGGGCTTCCAAGCAGCCGGGCTGGAGGAGCTGGGCTGGGGCAAGGGAAGGGCAGAGGGCTGCGTCCCGCAGCAGCCAGCACTGTGTCACCCCACAGTGACAAAAGCAGAACTCGAGTCATAGTTGAGGAAACTTCTTGGGTGAACTACAGAGTTGTGTTGTGAAGATAACATGGACTTATATGTATAAATTTTATATATGTATATTGTTTACATGTGTATATTGCATATTATATTGGGTGCTGGCTGAGCCCTGGCTGAGGTGACACTCCCTCAGGCTGGCTTCCCTTTGCAGTTTCCCAATTTTCCCTGTGATTTCAGGGAAACATTTATCTTCACACAGCTCCTCTAGCGTAGCCACGTCACGTGCCCGGCCTGCCTGTGCTTCTCAGCACAGGTCTGCAGTGGCAGGTCTGCAGTTCCATCTGGCTTTTAAAGATTTGCTTAAAATAAATAAAGCCAGCCGGGCCTTGCTTGTTGACCAGGTTTAAGAAATACATTCTTGTAATGTTAGCTTTAGCTGAAAATAACCTGTTAAATGCACACTTGCTAATCAGCTCTGTTTCCCCTGCTAAATGGGTAGAGCTGCATTTAAGATTCCCATGGGTTGTTTGGAGGTAAGGATTGAGAGCTTTGGTTCATAGCATCATTTAGGCACAGGCTGGTTAGACAGTTAACTTCAGTTTCAGTCTCCTTTGGGCTGTATGGACACCCTGCCTCATGCAGTCCCAGGCTGACGTGTTTTTAAGGCATGTTGTTTCGCAGTTTGGGAACGAGCGGTCTAGGAAGAGGAACCAGGTGTGTCCAGCTTGGCATAGTCTGTGTGCTAGATGTTGCCAAATTCGAGAGGAGCATGAAATCTGCAGCGTGCACCTTGCAGGTTTGAGTCCTCAGTTTCTGCCTTTGAAGTTTAATTGCATATGCTCCCAAGCTCCTTTATTTACCTTGCAAAACCAAATTGGCTTGCTATCAAACTGTCTGTTTTGCTGGATTATGCTGCAATCCCCTTTCTACCCAAATACGTTCCTGTTTAATGACTGCGTGCAAACATTTTGGGGTGGGGGGCTGGTTTACATATGCAGAGCAGTCCCAGGCTCTCACTCTGACAGCCACCGTGTCACCAAGCCACGTGCAGAGGACACGTACCAGACGCTGTCTTCTTTCAGTAGCTGGAAACGCGTGTGAGGATTAGCAGTGATGATGTATTTGGGGACAGGCTTTTCCAAGGAGGTCACTTTCATTCTCAGACGTGGCTTTCCTTAAAACCGCCAGCCACAAAGACTGAATTGGTGGTTTGAATGTAAACACCTTGATTCTGGGATCCCAGAGCAGATACAAGTGCTGTTTGCCACCTGTTTCTCTCCTTATTAAGATACAGGCCAACATGTAAATTATTTCTAGTTACCTGTTTAATTACATAAGTAGAAATCATGAGTTGCATTTCCTCAGAGGTACGAAACTACTCCCCAACATTAATTGTGCTTCCAATTGTTTTGGAGTCACTTTGGAGCCCTGCTGGACACAATCCAGGCTGGTGCTGCTATGCACCAGCTGCTGCAGAGCTGACTCAGCCTGACGTGTTGGCCCTTCGAAAACTGCAATGCAGGAGCCTTTCTCAGTGGGCAGGAGAGACCTGCCCGCATCCCCGACAGCCAGACATCTAACCCCTCCATACTGCCACTGGTAAACAGTATTTTCTTCAGAAATCCCTTTCTGCTGTTTTTTTATTTTTATTTTTATTTTTTAATTATTTATTATTATTATTAAATGACCTTTAAAGTGCGCTTTGGAGGTTGGGATAAAAAGGCTGTTGTTTTTTACTGACAGATGGAGTGGGTATGATTTGGTTTTCAGGTTATGGTAATTCTTGAGAATAGTTAACAGCAGCTAGACATTTCCATCAGCTACCTGGGGGAGGGAACCTGGCTTCCCATGCTTTTCCCTGCCTGCTGATACTCTTAGCATCTGCAGTATTGTAGGACAGGAACTTTTTCCTGGCAGACACCTGAGTGTTTCATATATGTATTCAACCAAACCCACTTAAACATAGCTCAAAGCATGCTTTTGGTTTACCTGCCTCGTTTCATCTTGCCCAAGAACAAGACTGTGGCACTTGGCTTAGCACCACGTGTTGTTAGTCTTGTTACAGAAGTAACGCCAAGAGAAACGTGGTCATGAACAGAAAGCGTGCTTGGGTAGAAGGATTTCCAATATTGAGAGTCTGCCAGAAATGTGACCTAATTATTGGGTAATAACAACAAAAAATCTGTAGGGAAGGAAATGAGCTTGTGTTCCTGCAGTAGAGTCACTGGTCAGTGGAAGGTATTCATAAATATTCCTACATGAAAGATGAAGTTAGAGCAATAAAACGTTATGCGCTGTGGCATAACAAACACGGTGCTAAATACTTGATGCTTTCTGGCACTTACCGGCTCTTCACATCCCCCATACCTATTAAAATGCTGCCCGTTTACTGAGCTAGTGACCTCTGTTTTGAAATGTCAGACAGTCTAATGGGTTTTCATTTCATAAATCATAACTAGGCCAGTGAGTGACTTAGACAACTTTATGAAGATAACTTTTGCTTCAAAGTAATTCAATTTAGGATTCCGAAAAAACAACATTATGTTTTCTCTTCTCTGAGCTATGGCTGTGGTGGCTTTTAGGGGGAGAGTAAGCTGAGCAGCAATGTTTTTATGTAAGCATTTGAGCCGTAAGGACTGGATTGGTTTAGTTACAATGAATTGTTATATAATTAGAGTAAAACCAAACTAAATTTAGAAAGGAGGAGATATTACACATTTGTAAGGGCTTATCCCTTGTTATCCCTTGGCTGCTTTTCCTGGGAATGTGCAGTACTCTTCTTGGGGTTTCTACAAAACAGGGCAACTTCTGGAGCCCTCTCCTTCACCTGGGGCTACGGTTGGTGCTGTTGGGAGCTGCTGCAGGTTTGTGCTCTTGGAGGGAGCTGCCGGTGCCTGGTTCTCCACGCCTCTGTTTCTAGGTGGTGGCTGATGTTGCTGGCACACAGAAAGCTCTGCAGTTAAATTTGTGAGATGGAAGCGGCCACTGTTAACAGCTATGTATGGATGTTAATTTTACCTGTCGAAAATGAATGAAGAATGTCTTCTGAATTAAGACATTTGGCTGTTACCAAATGTCAGGAGCTTCCTGCGATTGCTGGAGGTAGTGGTTCCACCCAAAAGAACCAGGCTCTTTATGGGTAATAAACAGGTGTTGAGCATTAAAACATGGATTAATCTTGCTCTGTGTTGTAATAATACAGAGGGAGACTGTCCCAGGCTGGCTGGGATAACCAAGTGGGGAATAATATGAACAGATTTTCTATTTCAGTAATGAAGCAGATCTTGCTTCTGGCTGCCACGTCCACCATTCTATATATTCTACAAGCAGCCTGACAGCTTAAAACTATTTAGTGTTAGAGATGTGATTGAGGAAATGTAATGGGTGGATGGGTAGTGCACTATTTCATCTGATTTTTCTTCCAAATGCCATGCGACCATTTGTCTCCTGTTGTTTCTTCAGCTCAGTCTGTGGTCTTCTTAATGAGTGGCATAATAAAGATGTGGAGTTGTTGAGGGAAGTGCTTCAAGGAGGCAGAGGAAGCACAATAGTCATGTATAAAAACTCCACAGCATGCACTTCAGCTGTCTCTGAAGTGGGAAAGAAGCTGAAATAGAGATTTTATGCACTGCTGGAAGAGCACACGTTCCAGTTGCAGATTTTGCTTCCTAATCAAGCACCGGTTCGATGAGAAAACTCTTGAGTAGTCATCAGCCTTGGTCAGTCAGGAGTTTTGCAGCGTTTCCCTGTTGTGGATGAGTAGCCAGACCAAGGGATTAGCTGCAGTTTTGTGGCTCATCCCTTTCTTAAAACAAGGCAATGTCATTAATTATATGCATATAATTAATTATATTATTCAGTGTGGGGATGGATAGGCTGTGAAAAATACTTGCTGCCGATACCTGAATTCTGAGTGTGGGGACAAAACACTTTGGTGTACAGGACTTCACATCGTTTGAAATAAATTCTTTTCAGAATTTTCATGTTTCAGCTTTTGCTGAAACATGGCACGCACAATTTCTTGCTCCACCATGATACTGGGAGCTCTCTTCTCGTGTGGTGGTCCTGCTCCTTGCTTGTACGGCGAGGATTCGGGTCAGAGGAGCACTCTGTGAGGACGCGGAGCAGCCTCCAGCCTTGTGGAGGCCAGACATCGCCTTCAAGGTAATGCGACGTTCAGCTGCCAGTGCAGGTTTTAAAAGTTAGTTTTTGCTTGCCCTCGTAACACTCGTCTTCTCGTAAATCTGAACTGCAAACTGGCTGAGCGAGAACTGCTGTGGCTACTCTCTTTGACAAAGGCGTGGTATGCTCTTGGACTTTTTTCTGAGGTGTTTTGCATCATCTGAAGTTCTGTACACTGACATTTAAAGACAAGACAGGGCCAGGCAGCAAATTCTTTTAGCTCAAATGTAAAGGCAAATGGATGGCTCTGCCCTTACAAATACGAATTGGATGACTGCTGCTTCCCCCCTTGGCTTTAGAGGAAGTGGTTCTCTTGAAGCATTTTGCTACAATTATTTCAAATGAGGCACGTGAGCTGCTTGCTGCCTCTCAGCTATACTCCTGTTGCTCTGCGGTAAATGGTCAGATCAGTTCTGCACGGGGCTGGTTGTCTAATGCCTCCATTTGGCTCTCTGCCCGTTTCTTTGCATTATATAGCCATGTCCCCTGCCTATCGTGTTTCCTTTTCCCCCAAATGCAGAGCGTACACATTCAATAGCTATACCAATGTGATTGATATAAGTGCAAATGCTATATTTTTATATATATATATATATATATATATATATTTTTTTTTTTTTTTCCCCAGAGGAATCATAACAGTAGTTCATGGAAGGAATTAAGATGGGGAAATAAAAATCTTACTTGGTGGTGGTCTGGAAAGCTGTGAAATCGGCTTCAGTTGCAGAGAGTGCTGCGGTGTATTTCTGTTTGGCCTTTAGTTGGATCACGGCCAGTCACAGGATGAACGACCTGGCTTGAAACTGTCCTGATCAGCAGGCCTTTCAAACAGAACTAGCACAAAGCTAAGCCTGCTCTTTATTGAAAAATAAGCCCCAAATCACCACCAACAAAAAAACACCACTAATTCACACAGATCTATGCACAAGTTGGTTTCCATGCAGCACAGCCTGCTGTTAAACTTCCTTGTTCAAGTGATGTTCAGGGTGATTGCAGTAGGGCCAAGACTTCATTACCTTCTCCTTAGACGAGAGTGCCAGTATCAGTCGCTTGTTTTCTCGCTCTTGATGAGAGGGGGGGACCTGACACGTGTCTAACTTCAGGCACTCTACTTGGGAAGACTGCTTGCTTCCATGACAGCTGAGGCCAGGACTAATCCGGGAGTCAGTCTTTGAAGATACTGCAATTCACGTATCTTAAGGCTCAAACAAAGCTATGATAAGAATTTCCTGCAATGCTTGTACAAAAAATATGGATCTTCCAATGCTTTTATAGGGAGGTTCTATTTGTACCGTTTGGGCAGTGTGCCAAGCTGCTATAACGTGTGTGTACGCATGGCTTGCCCTGTATTTCACTCAACATCACGTTGACATTCAAGTTGATTTTTTCTTTTAAGTAGACACTCATCTGACTGATCTATGTATTGAAAACCAAAGCAGTGAAGTCTGCACAGCAGCCGTGCTGCTGAAGGTCAGTGACCATGCCCTTCTGTTAGGGGTTCTGCTCCACTTTGCTTCCAGCCTTTTTGGCTACATAAGGTGCTTGCTCCTCTTGTATTAGAAGGAGAAAATGGGAAAATGGTTCTTTCTATTCTTCTGGGTGGAGGTGTGAATGCTGAATTTCACACTCAGAAGTACAAGTTACTAGTTTCTATTTTGCCTTTTAATCAGCTGTGTAACCACAGAGAGACAAACTGAGGCAGTCCTCTCAACTTACCTGTATTAATACAGGTGTGAGGAGAGCGGCCCAGCATTTTGGTGTTGGATTTCTGAAGCTACTCCGTATCTTGTATTTAAATACCTCAGGTCTGTGCATGTTGGTAGCGTGTCTCAGACTGGTGGTGCTGTGCCACACTGTGTAGGGCAGTCTGTGGCGGGCTGCAGTGCTGAGCGTGATCAGCGTGCTGAATGGGTGGCCTTCAGGATACTAACACTTTTAATCTCAGCTAAGTGGTTTATATATCAAAAAGTGAAGCACTCTGAAAAATACGCTTCCGAAATGGGATCAAATTAGGTGAAGTAGCAAATCCAATTAATTTTTTTTCATTAGAGCACTCCAGTATCTCTAGTGAGACATTCATTCTCCTACATCATGACAAGCTGTCACAGCTGTGCTTTCTGCGTGGGCTCCTGATTTAACTAGATTCAATTAATTCTCAACATACAGAGTGGTGTATTTGGTATTTTATGAAGGTTTTTTCACGTGTCCTTGGAGGTGGCACTTGTCTCATGGATAAATTATATTTGTATAACCCTATTGCTGTGCAGTGTTCCCTATCTTTAATGCCTGTAACGAGAGACTGTGAAATTAGCGTTGAACTTGATCAGGTAACTTTTTTTTTTTTTGACATCCTCAGTAACCACTTCTGCAGCTTGTGAGAAATTGGAGAGAGACAGGAATGAACTGCAGGTTGCTTATGAAGGATTTCTGCAGAAATTAAATGAGCAACATCACAGTGATTTAGCTGAACTGGAGGAGAGGCTTAAACAGTTTTATACTGCAGAATGCGAGAAGCTCCAAAGTATCTGCATCGAAGAAGCTGAGAAGTACAAAGCGCAACTCCAGGAGCAGGTCTGTGACATTTAAGTAGGAATATTCTCTAGTAATTGTTTTATGCTATAAATGAGTCTTCAGGTAATCCCAATTTTAGCTATTTTTGAAGGTGTTTTGTCTAGTGTGAAACTCCACTTCACTGCAATTAAAAAAATGTTACTGCATTAAGCTGTCCAGATCGTAAGCTTGTGTTTAAACATGTTAGAAATTGGTAGTGTGCTGCACGCTTCAATTACTTCTGGAGCTCTTCTGGCTGTTTGAGGCAGCTTGAGCTTTAAGATTTATAAAACCCCACCTGGCTCATGAATTTGCTTTGCAGCAACTCCATGTGTCTGATGTGCACACATCCTTCTGTTGGTATCAGTGAACTGTAAGGTTTTGTTCTCATCTATTAAAAGTTTTATGTGGCTTAGCTTCTCCTGTGACTATATGTTAAGTAGACTTATGCATGGCCTAAAGCCACTGGAACAATACTTTAAACAAGGGTTAAGTTCACACTCTAAGGGGAAACATTCATCTTGTCATATTGCAGGTGGACAATTTAAATATCACACATGAAAACTTTAAGCTGGAACTTGAAAACAGCCACTCAGAAAAAGTAGAGGAACTGAAAAAGGAATACGAATCCTCTTTTTCAGGCAAGTATTTTGTGTTCAAGTACCTACGTTATAGTGCTGCTAGTCACGGACAAAAATCCCTAAAACACATCAAACCTGAATAAGGACGTTTCGTTGTTCTTGCTGGTCAACTGTCTTTACAAATGCTGGCTGAATTCCTCCTTTTCCTACTGAACAAGTCCCATTTTACACACTGACATAACCACAATCCCATTATAGTTGAAGGAAACTTCCAAAACTGCTCCTGAGCAGAGATGACTTTTTCTTTCAGTAAAAGATGTGTCTAAGGTGTAATCTGCCCTCAAAATGTCAAGGTAATGAGTAATTGCTCTCCCGCCCACCCTCCCCGTTTCTGTATGGAGCACCTCAAAATTGAAATGAAGGATAAATAGGGTGGTGTAGTGTCCAGATTGACATGGGAACATTTCTCAAAAATAGTATTGCATCTAATTGATTTAAGAGGTGGTGATTTCCATCCTCCCTCCAACTCCACTTGGCAGCCACATTTCCAGCGATCCTTTCACCTCCTTAAAATTGGTGACACTTCCCCTGCAATTGAAGAACTAGCTCTTCTGGTTGATATTTCCAGAGTAGGAAAGGTAATCATTTTCTATAAGTTCCTGGAGGACAATTTTTTGTTGTTGTTGTTGCATTTCCCTTCAGAAACTCAGCTTTTGTCAGATGTGGATCTTGTGTTCAATTCATCCTTCTGTTGCGTGTAGATGAACGCTTTCAAACTTGACTCGTCAGCTAATGACATGTGTATGCCAGGCAGGGGACAACCAACAAAGCTGAAGCAGCAGTAAATAAATCTGATGCTTTGTATAGGCTTTGGAGCAGTTTGTGATAAATGAGCTTTCTGTGTTGTCACTGACTATGCACATGTGCATTACCTGTTTTGGCTTTTTGTGCTTTTTCTTTCCAAAAAGAGTTTTCATTTTGGATGTGGTATTAAAAATCTGCAAAAAATAATTTGTTGCAGAGCTCAAGAATGCCCATGAATCTGAAAGGAAGTCACTTGAAGAGTCCTTTAAAGAAAAGCAGGAATTGCTTGAGGTATGTTAAAGGTTTGCATCGTTGCAACAGTCTAAAACTTACAGAAAGCATTTTGGGGATGAGCAGTGAATTTTTGGCCTAACTATGCCCATTTTTTCATTTCAGAAAAAAATTGATGAATTAAAATGTGAAAACGAATCTCTGAGTGAGAAGCTGAAATTAGAAGAGCAAAAACAAATAGCCAAAGAAAAAGCCAATCTTGTAAGTCCAGATCTTCAAAAGTAAAGCAGACGGGGCAGATCTCGTAAGCCTGGGTTTATTTTATTGCATAATATGAAAGGTTTGCAATCAAATCTGATAGAGCTCTGATACTTACTGATATTTTATCTAAATGGATCGCCTACCAGAAGTTTTTGTCAAGAGCTACAGTATTGTTTATTAACCTTACCATTATAAATATATAAATTTGTAGAATGTGTAAGTTATTGCCTAAGTTAAAGACCTCACTGTATGCCAAAGGTGTATCACAGCTTGCTGCTAGTCAGTCGCTAAATGTTCTGCCAGTACTATGATCAGGGTGTGGGCTGTCTTGTGCCACTACAACAAACCTCTCTTCGTGTACTTGAGTCTTGAATGAATTTGATTCATACTTGTTGCTGATGTACCTTTTAGATAAACTTTTGTTCCATCATGCTTTCCCTCTGAAGGCTGCTGTCATCTGTGATGCTCCTGGGATTAGAAATGTGCTCTGAGAGGAGCCTTTCAAGCACTGGGAATGGCTAGATATAAACATGCTTATCTTTCTAGTGTGACCTATAATACTGCTGCAGTACTGCACGAAGAGAAATTCTGTGCTTAAAAAAGTATTTAGGATGCGTTGTTACTGGCACTTCCCAGATCTTGTCAGTTTTGCTACTTTACATGGGCAGTCTGCGTTGGTTTCCTGGAAAGCAGGGCACGTGCAAGTGTAATTGGTCTGTGTTTTACATGACGGGATAGCGTTAATTATAGGGGGGTTGGCCATAGTTGATTTGTATGCTTCAGCTACTTAATTGGAGAATTGTCTTCCAGCACACTCCCTGTTTTAAGACTTGGTCAAATATTCAAGTCAGAAATTGAAATAGAGGGACAGATACGTACTTGGAAAGAGTATAGTGAGGTGGGACCAGAAGGTAAGAAAGTGGGATGGAGGAAGAGCTGATCGGTCAGAAGAGAGCAGAGCAGAACCCCAGTAACGTGACCTCTGTCCAGCTACAGGGAGCCCTTCAGATGGAAAACCATCTGTTGGGCATTCACAGAGCTTTGGAAAGGAAAAAGCCAGAACAAGACATCTGCTTTGTGTGTGAAAAGTGCAGTCTTACCTAGGAGAAGCTGCTCTAATTTTCACTGAAATTTAATATAGTTTTTTTTCTCTCTTGCTACTTATCCTAGTGGCAGGGTAGAGCTGCAGCCAGAAGGATCTGCAATCAGTGTTGCTGTGAGTGGGAGAGGTGATAGCAAACAGAACATGTTATGTTGCACACTGCACTTAGCAGTTTGAACTGTATCCCACAGCTATGCTCAGATGTAATTTCAGTTTGGAGCAATAGTCAAGTGCCTTTACGCAGCTGCAAATACGTGTTGCATCCTGGCAGTGTACGGCGCTTCAGAAGCTTCTGTACAGAGATAAAGGTTTGACACAGTGTATTGCTATGCAGGAAGCACACATGCTGCACTGCCAGAAATCCCATTAAGCCTTTGTAGATAGAGGTATTTCCACTATTATTTAAATAGCATCAACTTGATATTCCTATCTTTTTTGGTAAAATCTTCTTGGGGCCTTTAGTCTTGTTATCTGGCTTTGTGTTATACTATGAGTAGCTGATGTGGTGGCTGAGATGTAACTTTAAAGATGTTTCAAGGCTCTTTTGGGCAGAAAGGAAAAATTTTTAGGTTTGTTTTTCTCCATAGCTTGTAGGTTCCATTCAAAGCCATAAAAGAGAGGAATTACGTTGAAATTTTCTGCCTCTTTCTCTGAGACAGTACTGCATACCCTCACGCTGACTTATGTTCAAAAGTAGAAATTGAACAAGAATCACAAATGCCACAGTCCTTAAGAACAGGCAGCAGAATGGAAGATAGACAATTGGGCCTTTGTATTTCCTGCAAAATGTGTTGGCTCTGTACCTTACAGCCCCTGCTCTGCCACAGTAGTTCTGTGCGTCCCACAGAACTACAAGCATCTCCCCATGAGTCTTAGGTTTTCTGATGTGGCAATGAAGCTGTTACTCAATGTAGTACATCAGTATTTTACCAAAATGTGCTAAAAGAACTTCTGTTTGCTTTAAAGATAAACTTAGTTATACAATACACTTCATCACTGATTAACCTCTGTTTGTTTTCCACTCATAGTACCTGGAAAGGGACTGAGACTTGTTCTGTTTCTGTATTTTTGCTTGTGACTTTGCCTTTGAAACGTTAAGAATGTTTTACTCTGCAGCGTTGGAATGACTCCTTACTTTGGAAAAGACATCCATGAAGAAAACAGACCCTGCTCTGCCCCATTCTCCCCTCCCCCCTGAAAATCCAAGTGCTGGCTTGCGATATTGTGGATAAGTCATAGATGTAAAGCAGTGTAATATACCGTAATAACGTAAAAGAAAAAATGTTTAATTTTTCTTACAAGCTAGCTACCTTCAGATACAGAACAGTGAAAGTCAGCTACAGCCAAGTTCATAGCTGTGTAAACTGTGTGCGCTTTTTGAACTACTTCAGCACCTGAAAACTCTTTGAATGTTTATGCTAATTACTTCTTGGGATGGGTTATGAGTAATACGAAATAAATTTTGGAACTCCTAGCCTTAGAGGGAGCCTTTCGGCACTCCTGCAAAACAAGTTTGGCTGTGACAGCTTTAGTGGTTTCCCTTGACTCACAAGGATTTTTCATATCTGTACAAAATGTATTTTCTGAACACCTGCTAAGAAAAACTGTAACTGCCAATGTAAAATGAAGGACAAACCAAATCAGATTAAAAAGCAGTACTGGATCTTTTTCTCGTTCAAACCTGTCTGACTTGATTTCACTTAGAAAAAGAAATTACAGCTGTCATTACAATTTTTATTTTCTTGCTCTGTCTAAATAGAGAAATAGATTGTTCAGGAAATTTAGGGTAATAAGGAAACTTTGTGGAAATCTTTCAGAAAAACCCGCAGATTATGTATCTGGAACAGGAGCTGGAAAGTTTGAAAGCAGTGCTGGAGATCAAGAATGAGAAACTCCATCAGCAGGATATAAAGCTAATGAAGATGGAAAAACTGGTGAGTTTCCCTTGGGGTCTGCCAGTTTTGGACCGTGCCCCTGCGTTACTTTCTGGTAATGATTTCAGGCTGGTCAGGCTTGCACACAAAGATCAATTCCTGTGTTTGTTTAAAAGGAAACATGCGATAATAATGTGAGACACTGCAGGTACAATCCCATTTGTATCGGGCTGTAAAGAGGGGGCAGGAATTACCAGATGCTCCAAGTAGCCTTTCCACCTCTTAAGGCAACTGCTGGGTTCTATAAACTCTAATTTGTGGCAGGACAGGGTCCTTATCCTGGGCGGAGCCTTTGAAAACTGTTGTAATATTTACTTAGGCAAGATGTTAATGAGGAAGTATAGAAAGAGGTTTGGGTACAAGGGAATACGTTCATGCCAGTTTTTCAGTGGTGCACAGCATCATGTGCTGCCCAGTACCACTGGTCTCCAATTACCAGAAAATTACTTGTAAACCTTCATCTCTTCTGACAGAAGTTTGCCACAGCAGAGAAGCCCTTGGAACATAAACCAGTTATTAAATGGTTGTTTTCCTTAACTTTTGGTAACATCTTGGTAACAATGAAGTGAAATCAGAAATAACAGGGAGAGTTGTTTATGTAGGGGAGCTCTTTGATTCGTCACTCTAGCATGTTATTTCTAGACAGCCTTCAGTCTGCAGTAGCTTATAAAACTGCTGCCTGTAACTCATGGAAGTTACTAGAATCTGCTCATGGAGCAGCATATACCTTAGCCAGTTCCTCTTTATTGGCATCTAATCAGCACAAGTGGCAAAATGCCAGCGTTACGCAAGAGTAAGGCAAGTAGGCCTACCTGGCTCCTACAGAACATCCAGCCGCGGTAGCCGGTCAGTGTCGCATTGCTCTGCGGTCACTGTCTGGTTTTGTGCTTCTTGCACCAAAGCCTGCAACCTGGGGACTAGGAATGTCTGCTGTGTGACAGTTAAGTCAGTAACTTGAATATATGCGTACGGCTTTTGGTTTAAACTGTGACCTTTTGTTCTAAGGTGGAAAACAACACCATCCTAATGGATAAATTAAAGAAGGTTCAGCAAGAAAATGAAGAATTAAAAGCTCGGATGGACAAACACATGGAGCTTTCAAGGTGAAAAAGATCTTGGGAGTTTTAGACGATCTTATTAACCTAGGGGAAGGGCTTCCTATGAAAAGAAAGAGAAATCCATACAAATATTAGTGACCATTTCTTTGTAGTTGTCTGTAGAAGAACACGCTCCTCCCTTCCCCACTTCTATCTTTACAGATGAGCTTTCTTATGTAGAAAACCAAGCAGAAACAGACTGTAAGGAAGTAAAGGCTCACCCTTCAGTTCTCCAAAGCAATGTTTCAGGGAGAAAAAGCCACTCAGAAATGTCATCTTACAATATATTGTTACAGGTTCTTCAAGAACTACTGGCTTGTAAGCTAAACCTGCCTTTACTTGTAACTATTTCAGCTGAGTGATTTATGCCCAACTTAGATTGGGGGAAAGCCCAGCGCATTGTAGTTAGCAATGACAGCAACATTTAACTTGGATAAAATGTGTCTGAGGTTCTCCTAACTTCAACTGCTACTTTAATGGATGGGAAAACCCTTTTAGGTTGAAGGAAACTACAGAAATGCAGCTTCTTTGTAGAGCTGAGCCTGAAACAGGACCAAAAGGCTCCAGTAGGGCTGTTTATAAGTATTGGTTACTGTAAGTAGGACAAGTCTCACTTCTCAGGTGCTTTTTCTGGCCATCTTCACTGGCCTTTAGGAGTGCTTCTTATTGGAACTTTCTCCTGCTTTTTGCAAGCTACAAGGCTAAATCCAGCAAGGCTGTAAACATGCTAAATCCTTCTTTAGTTCTCACTTTAAGGAAGTAATTTACTTGTAATCAAAGCAAGATTTTATGCAAGCTCAAACTGTCCTTTAACAATTAAGTTCAATACTGTAACCTCTAACTTCGGTTATGTTCTCTGATGTAAATTTGTCTTTTGCAGGCAACTTTCTACTGAGCAAGCTGTTTTACAGGAGTCACTAGAAAAAGAATCGAAAGTAAACAAGCGCCTGTCAATGGAAAATGAAGAACTTCTATGGAAGTTGCACAACGGCGACCTATGCAGCCCAAGGAAACTGTCTCCCAGTTCTCCATCCGTGCCTCTTCAGTCCCCACGAAATTCTGGTAACTTCTCTAGTCCTACGGTATCACCGAGATGACATCTCTGAGAGAAAGGGGATTGCATTTCCTTTGTGATCTGCAGAACTGATCCTAACTTTAATCACAGGAGCAAAAGCTATATTAGCTGAGGATGACGACTAAACATAACTGGAAACTTTGGTGCAAAAATGACGGTAAGAGACTGAGAATATGGGAGCTAAGATGCTCACGTTGCTTCTCCCCAAAAGACTTGATTATGACCTCTATGGACATCGTTGCACAAAGCACTTACGGAGCAAGGAAAGACTTGTTTGTTGCCTTTTCACCTAACTATAAGAAGAAGCTCAGGGGCTTAGAGATAAAGATCACAACCTTTATAATATGTTCCTTATCACAGACACTTTTTTAAAGGCTGTGTGTGTGTGCGTGCGTGCTGTGGATGGAATGGATGTAACACACTGTGCGTGTGTCTAATGCTGCCTTCTTTGCTGTGTATGTAATAAAGGATAAAAGCTGAAGACTATATACATTGACATGTACTTCCTTAATAATGGTGTCAGTATGCATGCTTTTAGCAAGAGTACCTTCATGCAGAAACGAGGAGAAACTGCCACTAGTACTGTAGGTCGGTTTCCTCTGTCTTTCTGGCTTCAGTTCAGTACAAGAATGGTGTGAAAAGCTTTATCAATTCTCTCATTAGCGTGTTGGCCCACCTGTGTATGGTGTTCTGAATGAACTTTAAGAACAAATTGAATCACAGCCATGTTACGCATGGATTCTTGGTCTAATATCCATGCACAGCTCCATCAATTACAAGGAGACTTCTTTTTTTGCAGGTTACAGTGGATTTTGGCTTTCAAGTCTACAGGGTCATAATCCGAATTAGAACCAGGGTATCCCCAGAGGTCACGAGTTCTTAGTACAGTTGCAGGTTTAGATGTCCAGACCTATCATCTTACCTGAGGAAAAGGAATCACTTACCTTCCCCAAAACAGCATGTCCATTGCTGAGGAAAAACACGATTTGAAAGCCAAAGAGAAAAATGCAATAATTGTTAGGTGCATGCTTAACTTGGTTCTCAAGAAGAATCTTAGGCTATCTGTGAATTTCAATGTATCTGGTGACGTGTTTGCTTTTCAAGCATTAGCATTTATATTAACATTCATTGGGGTTGGCTAAATTTCCCTGTGGAAGAGGGGGAAGGGGGTAGCTGTGAATAGTTATCTTGCTAATTCTGCCATACCTTCCCTTTTAGACTGCAGGATATCGAGTGTTTTGCCAGTTCCTTTGGCAAAAGATCCTGTACAAGAGATTCTGTAGAGTAGGTGAAAAAATTGTCCTGCCTGCTGAAGCTGGAGGCTGAGGGTGTCAGCATTTCTGGAAATGTTGTATGCTGAGCTTCAGCTTAAACAATCACATAGCTTTGCTACTCCCTTGGTCAGACCTGTTTTAAGATCTCTGCAGTGTATCTACTAAACACAGGTTCCACTTCAAATTAGTGTTACAAAACTCTCTGTGCTTACAGTAGCCTGGGTTTTACAGTGCCACTTCCAGAACCATTGTAATACTTGTTTTAGCTAATGCTATTAACAAGCTCTACAGTTAACTGTTATGGTAAATCGCATCTGAGTTTCCCTGTGTTTTCTAGTAGCTTGACAACAGGAATCGAGGGGATAGGAAGAGTTTAGGGAACTGAACTGGAGAACCACTTCAAACCATGTTACCCAAGACTTGAAAAATCTTGGCTAGTAATGACAAACACAAAAACAAGACTGTTAACAGTGCTCGTACATTAAGTAAACATGTAATAAACTTGTGGCTGACTATTACTTAATTTTACATGATGTACAAATTAAGGGTGCCGTTTTTATGAAACATTATGCTCTCTTAACCCTCTTTAAAGCACTGTACATGCCACTGTTAGTGGTGTCAGCACTTAAATTTGAAACCCCTAGAAAACAGTTTAACTATGAAAATCCTCTGTGGGCTAAAATTTGGCTTAAAGTATAGCTTGGAACATTCTTATTTGTTATGGTCAAAGAAATTTGATTATATGTATTTGAGCCTAATGCTTAAAAAATAAATTTTTGTACTGATTGAAGGCTTTTTTTTTTCCTGCTTTTATTAGTCAAATGATCTTTAATCTAAGAAGGAACATTCTTTTAAATACTTAACATTTCTTAGCACCTGTTCAGTACAGCGGAACAGCAATAATGAAGCTTCCCTACACAAGTTATTAATGTTCACCTAACCCTTAGAAAATTTTAACTATGCTCTGCCACTCTGATGTAAACAGAAATTATACAGAGCTTGTTTATGATTATTAGTTATTCAGTTTGAGGTGGCTGTTCCAAAAAAAAAAAATAAATGTAGATACCATCACAGAATTATGCAATAATAAAATACATGTACTTGAGTATGTTTGGCTTAATTTATGGAGCCAATGTGTATATACCTGGTAAAGGCATCCTAAAGCATTCCTCTTACAAAAATACTCACTTTATTCAGGATTTATTCAGGATTCTGTAAGAAAAGCCACACAGTTTAGCAATCTAACAAGTCAAGTCACAAAAATATATGCCTAGCATTAAGAACTTTACCTTAGCTGGGATGTCAGAGCCTCAGATAAAACATTCAAGAAGCATACATTCAGATGCTTGGAGATACAGTCTGCCCCTTCATGTAATGGAGAAGGGGAAAAGCTTTTCCAGCCTACCAGTACAGAGCAGTAAGTATGGCACAGTAAGTGATACAAAACTGTGGAGGTCAACTCTAGGGGTAAGTTAATGATACAGCTTGCAGGTAGAACTTTTAATGCTGTTAAGAAGAAATGGGTAACTCTTATATATCAAAATCAGACCATGTAAGTACCTGCTTACTGTTTGTTGGTCAGAAAACTAAATATTCTGTTCATTTCAATATTTACCTCCATTTAACTGAGTATTAACATTTCAAGCTTCAATTTTAATACTGTATGTTAGCAAAGGCTTTATTTGGGTACAGTAACTTTTACATATTTCTGATTTCTTTAGCACAAGTTTTCTTTCATAAAAAGCTAGAAACCTGCTTACTTAATGTATTCTAAAGGTCTAGCACTATCTGAGCAATTATACAAGTGTTTTTCTTCGGCTACTCCACCTTAGCTATCTTTAATGATAAGTTTCATAGGAAGTCACAATGACACTTGTAACTGTACCAAATAGTCTGTTGTCATCAAGCTATCCATACCATGTTTCATGCCTCTGCAATACTTTTCTCTCTAAAGGTGTGTTTTTTGAGTTACACCATACTTGCAGTAAAATTTGAGTTGAATCATTTCCTTATGCAAATTGAAGACTGGTTTCTCATGACATACACCGTGGATACTTGCATGCAACCTGGTATCAGGCGACTCATGCAGGAAATTCCTTCTAGACAGCAAGTAACCACTGCTCTTCAAAACTGCAGTTGCCTGACAACAAGGAAATAACTTAAGGCTGTGCTGGAATTTAAAAAAAAAAAAAGTCATCAGAAAGTTGAAATAATAATTGAACCCTTAAGATTAAGAAAAATACCAGCAGTATACTGCTGCTGCTTTGCTTTAGCAGAGTAATGACTAGGGTGGGGAAATAGCAATAGTAGCAGGTTTAGGTATATGACATTGACAGATCACTTAACATTTCATTTCCCAGGCATCATTTTTTTGCCTTGTGTCACTATTCATTCACGTGGAAATGTGCATTTGCATCAAGGTAGAAAGAATTAGGCCTACCAATGAGGCTTTGGGGGAACTATGAGCTATATTAAAATACATGGTAAAATAAAGACATTTTCTCATAGCTTCTGATGATAAGGATTATTTTAATGTTTGCAGCGAAGAAGAAAACCCACCAAGTTCTTCCTTAAAGGTCCTGCTCCTGTAGTTATCAGGTCTGAGACCTGTATGTGGTCAGTACGTGTAACTATTAAACCTACACCGACACTACTCATGCAATAATGCAGCAATGGCTTTACTTAATCATTTTCTTTCCTGCCAAACTGTCACCAAGAAAATGATGCTACCACATGAAGCGACATAGTATTGAACAAGTCTGAACAGGTGACACTATCCCCCACTCACTAAATATTTTAAAGGAAATGAATTGTTCAACTGAAGGCTCAAAAGCAGTTTGAAGTTTAAGGTGCTGGCACAGCTCCTGTAGTTCAAAGCATTTTACTTTTCTGATAAATTAAAGTGTTAAAAAGGAATGAAAACATTACACAGCCTCATCCAGAAGCTCAGGGATTATAAAAGTTACTTTGGTCAGATTAAAGGCTTGCCTAGGGAAGAAAAAGAGAGGGGGGTACAAAGTCCTCATTTGGGTATTACTCTAAAATTATATAATACCTATTTAATCATTTGTGGTAAAAATGCATGTTCTTGATCTCTTTTAAAGGCACTAAGAAAGAGAGTTATCAAAGAACTACTTCTTACACAGTCTAAGTTGGTCCTACTGCTTGCTACATGGACTTTTTTTGTAGCTACCTTATTTCCAGAGGCCAACTATATCCTAGGCATCTAGGGCATGTTCTCTGTGAAGCCTATTTCCTGAGACTTGCATAGCCATTCTAGTCTTTCACTGACATTTATCATATCAGTTATGTTGATTTAGGTTCCTGCACTATGAAGAAACAACTTTCAACAAGTTTGTTCAATGCTTTAATTAGTTATGGTAATAATCAGATTAATGACATCATAGATAAACTGCCCTTCCTTACACTAGTTGTACTTACCAGCTATCACCACTCCAAACAGTACTATATACATTTGCTCAAAGGTCTCAATTATCTGGAGCTAAGGGATTATTTCAAGCCAGCACCAAACGAAAGCTTTGGGAATTCTAGTCAAATGCAGCCTGAGACATATTTAAGTGTGTAAGCAGGGGCAAGGTTTGGTTCCTCATATGCTCAGAATAAACTGTTTTTCACATGCCTTGTAAATAAAATGGCCTGCAATAAGATTTTTATTTTTTTTTTTGGCCACACAATTGTACCTAAACTAATTGATTAGTTTTGTATCAGAAGTTCTAGCTTACATGGATTTCTTTGATCAAGTCCTAGGAGAAAAATAACCATTGCTGAAGCATCCAACAACATTGGGATCAAGGTCTTACCTTTTCTCTGAAAAGGCTCTTTCCTTGCAGTGGGAACTAAGTTCATGGTGAGAGAAGCAGTTGACTATTTATCCTGATGCTGTTCTGTGTAAATCAAACATCTTTCCTTTCCTCCGAAGTAAATTAATGCAATCAAATTAAACTTAACCTGAGAAGAGATCTGCTGTATAATCAAACATTATTCTAATCATGTTATTTTTTTCTTCTGTAAATGATACCATATAAATAAATTCAAATTTTACTTTTAGCAAACAAAAACAATTCTACATTACTACATCTATTGAGGAATGAACTGTAAACAAACTACATAGTAAGTTGTAAGAATGCAACAACATGAGCAAAAAACATCTAATGAATCCAACCACTTACAAGTCTCTGGAGACACCCTCTAGTACTTAAATATTTATTAGTAGTCTTCCCCAGGACTAAGAATATTGTGGTTTGTATCCTTATACATATAAAAAATGAACACACACATGTACACATTTACTGTTTTATACTGTTAATTATTTTAATTATTCTTACAAAATAAACATTGCTATTGGCTAGTTCTATATGATTTTTTTTTTAAACATGTACAGTATTCTAAACTTTAGAAATTGCACAGCACCAGAAAAAAAGAGATGCCTGCACTGGTGGAGTTTTTATATCCTCTTGGTTTTCATGGAGGAAAAAGGCACAAGCCATACGGCAGGTTAATCTTGTAGAAGTTTGAGAAAAAGACCATATGCAAAGCTCAAGAGCACCTATTCCTAAACATTATAAGCCCTGTGCATGTTCAGGCTTAAAGTTTAATATTTCATAGTATTTTTAACTCACAGTTGACTACTGCCAGATGTTTGGCCTGTCAAGCCAGTGAAAATGGAATGTATGGACATATGAAAATAAAGTGATAGAGAAAGCTTTCATTTAAACGTTAATAAAAAACTAACTGGTTAAAATGTAAAATAACATACAGTTCATTACAGGGTCCAGAAGCCTTTCCTATCAGTTCAGTTCCTACTTCAGTGGCCACAGTTGTTTCTCCTTGTAGGTTCTGAGCTATACAAATGTAGTTTCCAGCATCTCTGGCTTCAAAATCTTCAATAACAAGAACGCTCTTTGAGATTCTTGTGGTATGTCCAGTTCCTCTGTTTATTAGTCTCCAGAAGTTTTGGATAATCACAGGCCTCTCAGACTGTTTAAAAGAAAAAAAAAAAAGTGTATTTAGTGACTCCATCAAATTCTGAAGCAAGCAGTCAGTACAAGTCTACCTCTGAAAATCATAGTGAAGATTCCTGTGTTAAGTATTGACACATCAGTGAGTTACACCAAATAAAGACAACACAATGCAGAGAACTTGCACTTAAAGTGGAAGAGACAGCTTTAAACTGGTGGCTCAGTAGGTTATGGGTTGCCAAAGCTCTGCCTTAAGTGTATGACTGAGCTCAGTAGATGCTGGGGTCCACTTGTTAGGTTGAGTTCATGTACTCACTCAGAGAGGGGAGGCAGGTTGGGGAAGGGGAGCAGTTTGAGATGGCTGTGTGGGCTTATTTTCAGCCATTTGGCACATCCTGGAAGGGAGGCAGCAGTGGCATGAGTTAGCTGACCAAGATTCACCTAATTCTCTTTTAGCACAATGAGTAAGTAGCTTTAAATGCTGTTTTGTAAACTAATGCCTCCTCCTCAAGGTTCAGAAACACTGCATGAGATAACCGACAAGCAAACAGGAACTCAGAGGTGCTGCTAAATTAGTCCTTGAGCTCTGCTCGACGAAATATTTGTATACAACTAACTTCAAAGCCAAAAATATAAACAAAGATACTTACAAAGATATTTCAAAAATATTTTTTCTTCTATTTAGAACAGGATTTTTGCATCTTCTATAAGTGAATCTTTATAGACCGTTTATCTCACCACACTCTTTCATACCTCATACACTTGCAAAGGACAAGGTAAGAGCAACCAATCCAAGGAGACACTAAAGCAGTCTCTTTCCTTTCAACCCCCATCATGCTAGTCATAGAATCATAGAATATCCCGAGTTGGAAGGGACCCATATGGATCATCAAGTCCAACTCCTGTCAGCTGGCTTCATCCTAGAATAGCCTGAGTTGGAAAGAACCTGCAAAGACCATTGAGTCCAACTCCTGACCCCACACAGGACCACCTAAAAATCAGACCACGTGTCTGAGAGCATTGTCCAAATGCTTCATGAACTCCAGCAGGCTCAGTGCCATGACCATGGCCCTGGGGAGCCTGTCCCATTGCCCAACCGCCCTCTGGGTGCAGACCCTTTCCCTAACCCCCAGCCTGACCCTCCCCTGTCCCAGCTCCATGCCGTGCCCTCGGGTCCTGTCGCTGTCCCCAGAGAGCAGAGCTCAGCACCTGCCCCTCCGCTCCCCTCGTGAGGGAGCTGCAGGCCGCCATGAGGCCTCCCCTCAGCCTGCTCTGCTCAGGGGCTAAGCAAACCAAGGGGCCTCAGCCGCTCCTCATACATCTTGCTCCCTAGACAATACAATATCTTCATAGCCCTCTTTTAGACACTCTCTCAGAACTTTATGTCCTTCTTATATTGTGGTGCACACCACCCTCAAGGTGAGGCCGCCCAGCACAGAGCAGAGCAGGACAATCCCTTCCCTTGCCCGGCTGGCAGCGCTGGGCCTGATGCACCCCAGGGTGCGGTTGCCCCTCCTGGCTGCCCAGACACACTGCTGGCTCGTGTTCAACTCACTGGTGAACAAAATCTCCAGATCCCCTTCCACAGAGCTGCTCTCCAGCCTCTCATCTCCCACCCTTATCTATATCCAGGGGTGCCCTTTCCCAGGTGCGGAATCCAGCACTTGCTCTTGTTAACCTTCAACCTGTTGGTGATTGCTCAGCTCTCTAATTTGTCGGGATCTCTCCGCAATGCCTCTCTATTCTCAAGGGAGTCAAATGCTCCTCCCGATTTAGTGTCATCCACAAACTTACTCAGTATACCTTCAAGTCCTGCATCCAAGTCATTTATGAAAGTTTAAACGGCTTGTATCACACTGCAGATAAAACCAACAAGAAAAAGAGGTTTCTGCTCGGAAACCATCTCCTCTTAGTGAAACAAACAGATAAGCCATTTATCAACATGAATGCTCTAAGGCTTAAGCTAATTAATAACAGTGAAAGAGCAAGTTAAACACTTATCTAGAGCCAAAGCTACCATCTTGAACTTGCAAAATGACCAGTACAGGAAAAGGTGCCAGTCTTGTTGAAGCTTAGGGATGGGTTAGTGCAAGGCAGGCTGTGCCTAGTCAGTGGCACATTTTTACAGCTGGCAATGACTTTAAATAAATAAATAGAATAAAATGGTAAGCTCTTCTAGACATTCTTAACTCTTTAGAAGGAATCAAGCAAAGCTCTGCTTAGCAGAGCACTAGCCTCCTGTTCCCAGCTTGAAAAATCAAGTACTGCCTTCAAGTAGTACTGCTCACTTAAATTCAAGCATTACTCTGTTAGGTTTTAGGTACAGCAAGTGGAGCTTCCCTGACTGTATTAAAAGTGAAGGTAAATGCCACGTAAGGCAGATACTATTTGCCTGGCTGGGCTTCCACTATCCCAGTTTTTCCTCAAACTAATTGCCTTCTGCTTTGAAGATAGTTTCAGGGAAGCATATTAAGGAGTGGATCAGCATGCATTCGCAGCAGGTGAATGAGCAAATGCAATTGTCAGGGAGTGGCAAGGGAAAAAGTATCTGAGGGGGAAGAAAGTGGGAGGGCGAGGTAGTATCTACAGCAATGAGGCGAGGGTCCTGCCAATAGGATGCACTAGCTACAAGCCTCAGCAGACGAAGTGGTAGGTGGCTGTCCAGGTGCTGGGTGGGGTGGCAGGGAGAAAAAAAAAAAGATAGCACTGACATCCCTGCACTGAAAGCAGCAGCAGGGAACAGAAGGACCCAGTAGGTCTTAAAACTTTGTAGCTCATTTTTCTTGCACTAAAGGAGGTGCATCAGAGCAGCATCATTGATGCTCCCCTTTCTGCTCCCTCTACCCCCACCCGATGAGTTACTGTAGGGACTTGCTTCTTAACTAAAGTTTAAAATTAGAGGGGAGTGGAACTGATGAAGTCTGCAAGACACATATACTGCTGCTACTCTGGCATTTAGCTTGCTGGGGCTGAAACCCAAACAAGACTCTTCCCTCCCTTTCCCCAGGCACAGCTGGAGCTGAGACTGTTTTTGCCTGTGGATTAGCACATGAGCCCTCTCGAGGCTGTAGAGCAGATGCAAGCCACAGGCCAAAGTCTGTCTCTCTCAGCAGGTGGGTACAGTCAGAGGGTGTAGTCTTCTGCTGATAGCGTTTGCCCTGGACTGCAGGCGCAGTTTCTGCAGCAAATAAGGGAGGTAATTTGCATGCTTAGCTGTTTATGTTCGATCAGGGCTAGAAAGGCGAAACTGCAGTGCATGTGTCAGCTCCGCATCAGGTTCTGTGGGACCACTGGGCCAACAACAGCCAGCAGCCACGCCTGGGCACCCATTCAACTCTGAAAGTGCAAAAGCAGCAAGGGGCAGACACTAATAAGCTTTGGAAGGCCAGCCTGAGTCCAGAATTGAGTTCCTGCTTATATTTAGTGAGTACTGTGGATTACAGAAGATTTAAAACTGGGGTTTGTACAGGCAGTTACTACAGTCCAATATACAGATGGCAAGGGAAGTTAACAACGACAAAAATATATATCAATCTGTCAACAAAGCTAATGTGGTCAATGGGGGTATTTCTTCTCTTCCCTGTCCAAGAGCGTGAATTGTTATGAAGACTGCCAGAGATAAATCTTCCGTTTTGAAGGACGGAGACACTGCAATTTGTTCCTGTACCTCACTCAATGTAATGCTAAGGGCTAAGCTTAGAGGAAGACACTTGAGTGTTTAACTAAAAAAAAAACAAACAAAAAACAACAAACAAACAAACAAAAAAACCTAGCGTTCATCAGTTTCCCAGAGCTAAAGACACTTCACTTTTCCCTTCCATTTTACTTCTTACTCCACCAACAGCTGCAAGCTTCTCCAGCCTTTAGACACCTGCCCCTTTCCTTCCTAACTTCAAATAGACTCTGGAAACATGAATTCTTCTGCCAAACTCTTCCCACGCTCCACCTAGTGCTCACTCCCCAGATCACCTAATCCACGCTCTTAGTACCAAGCATCTCACCAAACGCAAGCTGTGGCTGCCCTCGTTTAAAGAAGAGGACGGGGAGGGTAAGCTGGTAGTTACTCATGAACCCTCAGATTGAGAGTCTCAGCGTGAAATTTTACAATATTGGCCAGCAAAAAAAATAAAAAAAATCCACATGGAAAACAAGCAAACAAAAAAAACCTGCCACCTAAGCAAGAACCAGAAATCTGGTTCCACATGCCCAGAACCATCACAAACCTTTTAAATCCCTTTGGTGCTCACTTGCTCTCTCATCAAGTATTTTCCCCTGAAAAGGCACACTCCTTACATGGCAGAGAGGGTGTTACAGTCTACCTTACTGGCTACAGCAAACTTCTGGGGCTTCAGCTTTGAATTTTTCCTCAAGCCCAGTATGCATTGAACCCTGGTCACTCACTTAAACAATAAACTCCACCATCAGACAACTTAATTTCATGCTGGCTCAGGGACACCACTAATGAGGCCTTAGCATCAGCACTGAGTTCTGCATCATCCTTTGACATCACAGCACCGGGAAGGCAGGCAAGTAGAATACAACCCCTCAGGTCCTACAGGACCCCTCTCCTCTGGTAAAGTTTGCATCTTCCAGCAGTCCCCCTCTTGCTCCTAGCCTGCTTCAGATAAACAGCAGTAGAGGTGACTCTGGGCAGAAGCAGCTGTCTGTGCTTCTGGATCTGAGCAGCAATTCAGTTTAAAGATTCTGGGTTTTGATGATTCATGTGCCCAAGCCACGGAAATGGATAGGATATCAAAAGCAGAGGCATCAGAAAGGCTTTGTAAACTGCCCTAGAACAGCTTCCTGACGCTGGCTGGGCTTTGACCAGGCTTTTCTTTGTAAATGCTGCCAGAGGCCAAGTGTCTTTGGAATGGAAACCTGAGGGAGGGGTGAGCTTTGCTCAGCTTGATTTTTGCTAACATGGGTAAGAGCTCTCAAGCTTCAGTTCTGTGCTGCTTTTAGGCTCTCACGGAAAGATGGGCTGAAGTTCAAAAGGGATGTGCTGCCTCCTCCTGCCAGCATGCCTGAGCTAGCAAGAGGCAGTCACCACAATAGGAAAGAATCTTCATTCCAAATCTAGACAGCAACTGGCATTCAAAATATTGACTTTATGAAGAAAAAAAAAAAAAATTTCAGCCAAGGCAGACACCTCTTACCTCTTGCCCTGGGTACTGCCAGCTGAAGTTCACGTCTACATCTGGCTCCCCAAGAACAGTGCAGATTACATGAATGCCATCTCTGACTTCTGCTCTATTGGATGACGCCACGATTGTGGTTGAGGGTGGGCCCTTGGGGACTTATAGAAAGACAGTATTGAGAAACTGGAAATCGGTTTCTGAAGTGAAACATATCAATAAAACATATTCAAGACACAAGCTGTGAATCAGTTTGCTTAATACAACAGGGAAGTGATGTACAGCTGCAGCTTTCCACCCTATACTGGGAAATTGCTGGAATTTATACGTACAAAGCTTTATCAGATACAGTTTTGATGAAGATTTCAAAATTCAGTGATTGCTTAACTTACAAATTCATGTTTTAAAACTTGTTTTCTAAACCGTGTCAGCAGAAGAAACAAGAGTCAGTGTAAGTATATAGGAAACACCAGCTTACCTTCCACATAGAGTAGGTGATACTTGATGGAAATCTGAGGTGCTCCCTGTGACTCTGCTTTGCAGTAGACGATACCTTTGTGATCAGAAGTAGGGTGCTGGTAGACAAAACCCTTCTTAACATCATAAATAATATTAGTTCCATCAGTTTCAATTTCTTCTGCTGGAAATTCCCTGTGTAGAGTTACTTTCGCTGAAGGAGTAGTAACACGGCATGGGATGACTGCAGGTTTATCTGGGTTCAGGTAGACAATCTCAAAATAACTGGGAGTAGGTACAAAAAGTTCCTCTTTATCTAAGCAAAAGAGTTTAAATAGTTAGAATAGCGTTTAAATCTTGGTTTAAGAGCAAAAAGAGAAAATACATGAGGAAATCGCTACAGGCAACATTAAAAATGAACCCAAAGCATTTTGCTTCAAATACATACACAAAAAACACTTTTCTAATCTGAGACTATGTATTTACACAGCTTGCATTAAAAATGTTATATTAAAAAGAAATTCAAAATAGCCTTCTTTGCAGTCTTGTAGTCAGATTTCTTTAGATTAGGAAAATCTTTAGAATTCCTTTTCAATGCATATCTAAATATTCATCTGTATCTAATGCTGTTCACTCACCCAATTTTAAAGGGTAACAAACATTAAAAGAAACACCACCACTGGTAAGATAAGCAGTACTAGAAAGAGGTATTTTTTGGAGCTATAGCCTTTTTATACATATGATTTTAGGTAAAATGTTTGATTTCCTGCTCTGCAACGTAGTTGAAATATTTAGTGCTCTCACACAGGCAGTTAAAGAGTATTTCCATATTTGGCGTCCTCCTTATAAAGCTGAAAGTCCTCTTTCTAGCATGAGCGTTTAACCTAATAACTTGACTGAAAAGTTTATTCCAGCCTTTCTGAAGGAATGTATCCTTGGAACATGAAACACTTCTGATAAATGGCTTCTGTACAGTCTCATGGTCTTATTTAGCTCCAAAACCTATCACAAACAATCCTATCTTAGCATTTGTCCTGGAATATTCGCTAGCCAAGAATGCTTTAGCTCTAATCACACAGCAAAGGTTATTTTACCACTCAGAAAGTTTTCCATTGGCAGAACAAATTAACCATTTGTTTTCAACTCTGTTGCACCAAGTAGCAGTAAACTGCACACAGGTATTTACTACGCCACGTTAAGGCTACTGTCAGACTCAAGCTCTGCAGGACAGTACACGCATGTAGAGTGTTTTGCCTCTCAGCATGCTACATAAACACTTGGGAGAAACTGTGGCCTTGTCAAGATCAAGGAGGCCAAGGTTTTGAATTTGATGCAGGTAACTGGAAATGTGTTGGGGGTGGGAGAGAATGCATGGGGTCACCTGAATGTCGTGACAAAAGAAGTCTTCTACACACAACTATTTTCTTTATCAAGACACATTTTCAAAAATTAAACAGTCTTTGGATTCAACTTGTAGAAGATCCTCAGCATGTGTCAGTATTTTCAAAGGTATTTGATTTCATTGCACTGTGCATTATTTTACATGTATGTATGACCGTAGCATAATCCATAGGAAAAGTGGACTCAAACTACACAAAGCGAGTAATTGTCTGCAAACTTCACCAGCAATTTCTTCCTTAACATCTTCTAAAAATAGACCAAAATTGTGGAAAAAAAAAAAACATCTGGACAGTAAAAATCTGAAGCAGACTTATTGTCTTACTAACAATCTTTATTTCCACATATTATACGAATATATTAATAATCCCCAAACTAATTACCTGTGAAAAAGATGTACGTTGAACCCGTTTTAGTCTCATCCTTCCTGCATTTGTTACCATTGCAGTGCTGCAGCCAGCAGCTATATTCACCTGTGTCTGCTGCAGTGGAGTTTGTGAGGATCAGCTGACCGTACCTGTCAAGCTGCTTTAAACTGCAGAGAAGAAAAACAAAAGGCACAGACAAGCACCGCTGTGTTTCCTTGTACATTTTTGTCAGATCACTTCTACTTTTGATTATTTTTCTCCTGCTCTGCAACAGCCCCGTCTCTCCTTCAGAGCTGTGTTGCAACTTCCCCTTTTGCTCCAGCAAAGGCCTGCACACAAGCAGTTTTATTGATTTCGACTGCATGCACGGGCATTTGTAAGCTTTTATCTCGTCTGGGTCGTTCCTGAACTCGTTCCAGAGCCTCTGTTTTGACAATGGGCTGTGATTGCCATAAACAATGTTTGTCTGTACGTTGTCTCAGTTTGTCTATATATATCCCGTATTTTCATGCTCCAAGCCAACCCCCATGCATTACATTCCACTCCTGATACCAATTACTTCAACTGCAGCGTTGCTTCAGTAGTATGCAGAAAGGTACCTCATGCCTAGTAACCATACTGGCAGTCCCATGAGGCGACTGCATGAAATCCCGCCTGTGTGATTATTTCTGGGACTTCACTTGCTTTTTTCCAAATACATCTCTTGGTGGATTGAAATTTGTAAATTAATTTGTATGTACAGATACTGGCTGTTTCTAAGGGTCTTAACTACAAAATTCAGTAGGCACGATCTCATCTTGTTCTTTTTTATTTTTAGGCTTGTTTTCCTGGCTCTTTCTTGCAGACAGGTGGTGGTAGAGTTGGCAGCACCTGCTACGTTACCTTCTGATGGACTGCAAAAGCAGTGGTCCAACAGTACCAGTTGTCCGTGAACCCTGTCAGGACAGTCACGTGGCAGTACTGATGCATTTCACTGCTGCTCTCACCCTTAAAAATGTTATTTCATTACCACTTGCCTCTACACGGTGGCATATTTAAAACACAAAGGTTTCCTGCTTTCCTTTGCAAGACATTGAATGCTACGGTCATTTCTGATGTAATCAAGCCAGGAGAGACTTTTCCAGTTTTAGACATTTGGTTACAAACTCATTCTCAGTGTTTCAAACCGGGTCTGGACAAATACACAGCTTGCATCAATTCCCCACAGCTCCTGTGCTCTTACTGAGCTGTGGGTTCTCTCTCTACTTACCACCCCCCTATTTCATTTACACAGAGGTTATCCTGTAAGGCAGATGCAAGACTTCCCGAATCCTTTATCTGGGGGATTAGCACACTTGGAAGACATTCCTCTCTAAAACTTCTTGTTACTGTGTCACTGCAGCATTGCTGCAGACGTGCGTGACACTGCTGCCTGTGCTAGATGCTCTGCTTCACTTATGCCCTGATTGCAGGCAGCCTCCCGCTGGCTGCTCACGTTCATTTATTTAACCAGAGAGGCTGTGTTCAGCCACACACGTGCCCTGAGATTTCCAGCTCCCTGGGTGTTCTGCTAGGAAATTGCACTTACAACCCGCAAGCATGAGCAAAGGCTCACGTAACCCAATGTTCAGCCTCCAGCCAAGGCCAGGAGCTCAGGAATTAAAACCATGCCAAATAAACAACCCAAACAGGGCTGAGAATTATCTTTTCCACTGAAGCCTTCAGGCTCTGTCAGCACACTCATGCACCACAGAGCAGTTTTGAGGGCTGCCTAAGGAAACAGGCAAATCGTGTTTCCTGCTTGCTAATTCACTGGTCCTGTATGACCTTGTCTGATTCCCGTTTTTGGAATGATGTGATTATGGAAAAGCAGCATTTTCATTTGTAATATATACACTGCCTTACATTATAAATCATCTTCAGGTTCTGGGTAGGCTTTGACAAATTCCTAAGTGGACAAGAAACCCTTTTTTGTATCACACACAGGAAGAAAAGAGAAATCCAAAGCACGTCCTAGTCTCTATTTTTATTTAATTCCACAGCTCCACTTCACAGGCTACAGAACTACATTGGCATAAAATGTTTTGCAAGTAACCAGTGCTAATTGTCAACACTGTAGAGAAAACACTATGCTAAAACATTTGGCCTCCAACCATTGATGCAGACACTGAAGTACAGCTCAAAAATCCCAACAGACAAAAAAAAATAAGGTCAAAATTAATTATTGTGCAGCATGTTCTGCTTAACTGAGAATCAGCTACCCAGTAATCAATGGCAATAGCCTCGTGATGTAGTCATCCACAAACATGCAGCAGCGAAATCTGGCAACAGAAGGAGTGGAAACATTGAGACTTGTGATGTGACCATGTTAAGCAGACAAAACAGACTACAGAAAATGAATTATAAATGGCAAATTAAGCAACTGACCTATATTTCCAGGAGGGCTTTCATTTCATTAGTATTTTAGGTGATGAAAAATCTGTCTCAAAAGCCAGAACTCCACTGTGCTTTACATATCACAAAGTAAAAATTTTGTATATAGAACATTTCAAGGCTGTTTAAAGAAGAAAAAAAGAAAAAAACTACTTGAAAATCCTATTCCATACATTCACCTTATTAAGCTTTAGTTATTTTAAGTTCAAAAGACCTTTCTCAGAAAAGCTATGCCAAGTTTAGAAGCTAGAAAGAGATAAAGGATGATAAAAATATAGTGTACATGGCCTCACTTAAGAGTATCTAGCAACCTCCTTTCAAGCAGCTTGCACTCATACTGACACAGAAGAGCTTATCTCAAACACAGGCTCACTAGGAGAGGGCCATAACATCCTTAGCATTTAGCATGAGAAAAAAGCCTCCTAGCTTTCAAATTTCAGGGCACAGGGAAATAAAAGACATGCAGCTAGACGTAAGCACAGACAACAACCCTCTAAGCCAGCAGGAGCCTGTGTCAATTTAAAGCAGCCTAGATTTGTCCTGTAAAACATTCATGGTTTCCTCAAGGCTTAGGAAAGTGCTCCTTGTCCACATACAAACATGCACACGGTGCTTCTCCAACTCTGACCCAACTGGAGCAGTTCCATTTCATCCAAGTTTATTTATCACAGACTTTCATCTGATAGATACAGCTGGTTTGGACATTGGAGAGACCCTGCTCCAAGTCAGGCAGAGCACAGACCATGTGAAGTCAGCCTTTGTCCAGAGCACCTTTTTGCTCACGAGCAGTAGAAAGCGAAAAGGTACTTGCCCTTCTTTTTCCTTCATCCCTCTCAGTTTTTGATCCTTCTCACACACTGTAGGGCTGGTTTCTGGGTGAGCCTGCAGTCATTAACTGGTTACATACCATTTTATGAAGCAGCATTCCAGCCCTGCCATTCCAGGGGTGCCCGCGCTATCTTTGACTGTTAACGCCAGGAGTTTTGGCTACATTACTCCACCAGCACTCACGATTTCCAGACAAAGAGTTATCTGGAGGGTATATTTATGCTGCATAGGGTAAGAGAGCACTGCAGATAATAAGCTAGTCCTGAAGTGAGCTGATGGGTGCCCCTAACTTAACAGCAAAGTCTACACAATTTTAGCCTCTCTTCCCCGAGCTGTATTGCCTGCTATGGTCTCTAAAGCAAAGTCTGTCATTCCAGTGTGTGCTGGTATTTCCTCCAGTTACGGCAGTGGAAAGAGAGGATTCATCCTCCAGCTGAAGATAAGAGACTGCCAGAGTTGTCCTCCTTTCACTCAGCATCTTCCCCTCACAAGCCCCATGTGATAATTTTAGCATATGTTAACAGCTACAGACCTATAAAACACAGACTCTCTGGTACTGCCAAGCAAAAATACTTCATCTACAAAGCCATAAAGTATACCTCTAAAAACAAAGAAACCACAGCCATCAGTATTACAAAACTGGCTTTTGTAAATATAACCTCTTCCTTCTTAGAAAACTCATATTGTCCTCCAGGCTGCTGTCTTCTCCTTTCCATATGGGTGAGATAAAAACATGATAAGCACGGCACGGAGGCAAAACATCTGGCTTTTATCACTACCTCTTTTTGTAACCACCCCTAGGAAATGCAAACATTTCAGTAGCTGCAAACCAAAACACACTCTCTGCCCCAGATCTCCTTCTTCGCTACAGGAAGCAGACCTTGGTCAGCACCTTCAACACCAGCTTCTGCCCCAGAGCTCTGCTGCTACCAAACCCTCCAATTAGTTGACCCATCACAACCCTGAACTTTAAAAGTCTCTCTTGCCCCACGCAGTTGCAATTCTGCTAGATGCTACGGATCCTCCAAGCTTCCTCCCGGTAACAGCTGGAGTTTGAGGATGTCAGTAGCTCCCAGGAGATGCAAGATGCTTCTTGGCTTTATGATTTTCCTAAAATTCATGAGTACTCCCACCAGATCAATTGAATTTTATGTACCTTCTGCTACTTAAAGACAAGCAAGAACTGGATGCCTGAGCATCCGTTGCTTTAGGGATGTGCCATCAAGCAAAGAGAAGGCAGTCGTCAGTCCCCAGCAATTGCACAGACCTTGTCACCACTGCCTCTCCTGTCCTCCAGTCCCAGCAACCTGCTCCTTCTCCTCCCGTTCCTTTTCACTTTCCAGTACCTCCACAGACCCCAACCACTTTGCCCCTGCTGCTGCCACCTCCAGTTGTCCCAGTGCTTTTGCAAGGACAGCGTGGAAGTCCAAGGTACAGTTTATTGGCCTGTGCTCCTCTCCATGCCTCACTAACTGGCAATGGATATCTCACCTCTTACACTGCATCTTTAAGCACAAAAACATATATTGAACACAAATCTATTTACAGGATTACACCATTCTTGCTGTAAGTTACTTGTTAATCATTTTTCCTCATTTTCTCCCCTCTGCCCTACATTTAGCAATTTGTTTTAAAATAATCTGTGTAAAATATTTGTAAAATTAAGAGAATTGCTTTTTATAGTTGATGCTACTGCACGGACTTTTGCATGCCAAGAAGATCTAAGCTCCTCTTGAAAGCTAACTAGATGAGGTCTTCAAGATACTTTCAGTTACATTCAGTCAAAGCTCTCTAAAATGAAGGAATACAAATTTTGCTTTTCATAAAGGGCACATTCTACAAAGACTGTTTTGCGTGCATCTGTTAGCACTACAGCAGAGATCTTGAGATAATTAACAAAGACATGATAAAAACGTGATGCACAAGATTTGGTTGCCAATGTCTCCATACATTATTACCATTCTGTGACTCTGAAATGTGCTATTAATATGTGTCTTCAATTTCTCTAGTTAGTTCTAGGGTCTTCTGCTTACAATTAAAAGTTAATTCAGTCTAAATCAGTCTTACTGCTTCAGAAATCTACTTCTCAACATTTTTTCTAAAGCAAGGATCATCATATTTCAATATAGACCCTTAGATAGAACCCTAATGTAGTCCTAAAATAAAATACTTAGGCAAGATATAGCCATCTAAAATGTTTTACAGCATTTATTGTGGGTGACATTATTAACTTTTGTTTTACTGTTACGAAATTACAAATTCTGTGGACGTGAATGAGAACACAGACGTAAACTGCTGAGGCAACAGAATTCCAAACTACTTCAAACTGCGAAATGGCAGATTACAGAACTAGGAAACGCATATCTTTTTTTTTCCCAAACCACCTAAATTCTTGTATTTTACCCCTTTTGCATCACTAAACCAGTACAAGAGAAGCACAGACAGTCAAACAAATAACGAAGCAGCATTCAGATCCCTCTCTGAAAACTGAGAATACTTGCCTTGCCTTCTTCAGTGCCAGATGTTAATACTCAGATAACATGTACACGTTATCTACAGGGCCATGCACACAGTCCAAACCACAAAAGCAGCCTATTTGCAGATGCGCAAAGGGTGAGCTACACTTAGAAGTAAGACCCACCACCACACACCCTCTCCCTTTTGGTATGATTTTGCATTCTTCTTTGGCGTGCTAGTAGGCCAGGCCCATACTGCGGCTGACACATGCCACCTAGTGGCATAACTCTGAATAAAATACCATTTATTGCAAAATTAAACACAGTAATTATTCAAACCAGCTACAAGATCTTTGAGAGATACTGCTGAGATAAGCCCTCAGCATAAATAGGCTTGTTGCTGTAACTTCTTACACCAGAAGTCTTATACAAGCTATAAAGAAGTTTATGCAGCCAGTTTATTCTTGAACTCCTAAGCTGCAATGGGACAAGTAAATATACACTCAAGAAAAGAATCAGCTCATGAATTTCGTAAGGGTACGATACAGACCACAGGGTACAGTTGTCAATTTTTAACCCTATTCTTTGAAAAGAGAAGTAGAAAGAAAAGTATATCTGAAAAAGTAACTGACTGTGATTTTAAGGCGGCTTCATGCCTGTAAGGAAGGGAAATGGATCACAGGGATTCAGACAACCTTGGTTATTTAAGATCCCACAAACTTTTACTTAATTTAGGAAAAAAAGGACAGTAGTGCTTGATACCTTTGCTCATACTTCTGTGCTCCTCTTACCTAATAATGCAAGAAATACTCCTTCTGGCTATTGTTTAGGGACTTGTTCATAGTGCTCCTCAGTCTCCTGACCACTTGTCTTTCATAGACACTTAACATAAATCTCCATAAAACAGATAGTGAAAACAAACAGGCTCTTCTTTTGGCAAAAAAGTGTTAGTGGAAGACACCCTTGAACTCCTTTTTACGCCCTTTCTCTTTTAAATACAGAATGAAATTAATACATTCAATCTACACTTCCCTATCATGTGCTATGCTCGAGAACTGGGAAGGCCAACAAAAGTACGGGTCTTAGTGCTGTTTAGAACAACAGTACACTCACCTGCTGGGGCAAAGAGAGGGAGAAAGTCCTTAGCTCCTCTTCCTGCTCTCGCAACTATTTATGTGGTTTCCATTAAGCTGTCACTAGATGAAAGAAAAAGCCTTCCTAAACCCAAGGCGACTATCCTCAGCGTTAAACTCCATCTCACCACCTTGCAATTCCCTCTGTATGCAAGGGTAACTTTGACAGAAGAGGTAAAGTCTACACTCACTCACTCCTTAGAGCACTGGTTGATGTATTTTTATTTATTTTCAATTGAGAGATGTGGGTTTGAGCCTCTTCAGGAAATTAATGTGTGTGTCTCAGGTGATACCTATGCTAGCAGCCAGCACAGCCCAAGAGCAGCAGGTCTCTGTGGAACACCAGAGCTGGTAGTGAGTACCTGACATCCCCTCTCACCTATTTTGATATTTTTACTTCAGATCAGCTCTAGTGTGGTTCTTTGGTAGTGGCTGGAAGCACACTGGTGTCCCCCTGGACCACAACTTCTGTTTTAGATTGATCTGAAGGAAATCCAGTTCACGTGCTATGAGACTGTTGCACAGTGCACATCACAGGGGCAGGAACTGGGCGTGACTGGAAGATGCTTCTCCTTTGTTACAGGCATACGCAGCCATTGGGTAGCACATCTTTTTCCCCCCAAAAAATTAAAAATAGCTTACCTGAGTCTGGAGTCTTTGAAGGTGTCTAGGTACGAAGGATAGCTCCAAGTAATGTTGCTCCCCTTGCAGCGCAGTTCTATGCTTTGTCCCGCGGACAGGCTCAAAGTGGCAGCTAGTTTCTGGAAGCGACCTTTATCCATCACCTGCATCAGTATGGACTGCGACTTGGAAGAGGAGTCAGCAGATTCTCTCTCCTTCATTTTGGGGCCTTTGGGTTTTACTTTTTTATTGACAGGCCTGATTTTGTTTTCCCCTGGTTCTTTTGGATGTTTATTTTTTGCAGACTGTCCAATAACTGGTAAAATAAGGAAAAGAAGATGACATTATTGATTAGAAACAGGTTATACAGTCTTCTTGCAAAACAATTCTCCGTTATTATCACAGAGAATATTTTGATCTTCCTATAAAAGATTCACAAATATGATTAAGAGTTAATTTCCATAAGTTTTTGAAGTCTCTGACATGACTCATTTTCCTGGAAAGAAAAAAAAAAAAAAGAGAAAGCTTTCAATAACATGTGGAAAATCTATACTTACAGGTCACATAAACAGACAAATATGTAAGGCATGTGAACTTCTCAGATGGTACAGGAAAGAAAGACAGCATTTTTCCCTCCTGTTACTTTTGTCATTGCTACCTCCTATCACTGCCATTTAGTATGCAATGCTACACAAGTCCCCCATCTTTATACATATTTATCTCTTTATACACATTTATCAGTTCTGCACAGCTTTTTCACAGACCGGGTTACTGTAAGAGAAACGTGAAGAAAAACTGGGAAGTCACCTGAAGGCAGCATTTAATTCATCACTTCTCTATTATGGCCACTTATCGTGGAAACTGAAGTCTCATTTAGAGGCAAATGGTAGGAGATTTCATTACCTGCTAGAGGCAATAGGGATGCTCAGCAGCCTTTAAAAACTAAGCAAATGAAATGGAAAAGAGAGGTATCTCAAACTGACTATCACAAAGTTACCCTTTTTAGGAAAACAAACAACTAACCCCCAGACTCAAATGCATATGGGATCAAGCTCACTGTGCTGACTTCTTGGGTGGAAAGGTGTAAAATGCTTTTGAGCTTCAAAATTCCTCTGCAAACTCCTCAAGATCTTTTTGATGACCCTTTCTTTGACTTGCCTCAGTGCCTCACCCCTATGCAAGGCATGCCAAAACAGCACAACAGCAACACTCCACCTCTGCTCGACATTGCCTAGCCATGCCAGGCATTCCCCACATGCAGTCACACAGCAAAGAGCAAGGTAAGTCACCAGCATTTCCATAGTTTAGCACCCCTGTAGGTTGATAGCAGCCTTTGAAATAAATTAATTAATTAATAACGAAGATATTCACACTTTAACTGACAGTGGAAAGCATGGATCTTTTGTGAGATGAGCTTAAAACTGCACAACATCCACAAAGCGTGCCTGACAGCTAACTTGCACTGAGTGCAGGTTTTCCATGTACAAGTGCTCTGGTACCTTACTGTACAAACCAACCAACGAGCTCACCACGAAGAAGAAGAACTGGGAAATCTGATCTGAAACAAGAACACACCATTTGCTGCGAGGGTGGTCAGCCACAGGCTCAAGGTTGCCCAGAGGGGTTGAGGAGCCTCCCTGCAGCTGTGGAGATCTTCAAAACCCCACTGGGCATGGACCTACAGCCAGCCTGAGGTGGCCCTGCTCACCCTGGGGCTTGGACTGGCTGATTCCAAGGGGCCCCTTCCAGCCCTTCTGTGCCCCTGCGATTTCAGCAGGGATTTTCAGCAACATTTCCTTCTAGTCCCACACCAACCCCAACACAAACTCCTGGAGGACAGAAATGGTGCAGACTCTGCCCCATGCCTTTGGAGCTCTTTGGACTCATACATAATAAGGATAGCTTCTGGAGAGGCATGCGTGCAGTTACTGAACTGCACACCCCCACCGTACATACATTTTCCCAATTCTAGGTTATTAACTCAGTGAAGTTGCTTGCAAAGATGCCTCACCACCTTAACACCAGCTACAAACAAGAGATCAGACAGCAACACTTTCCAAAGATGGTGACATTTTAAGACAAAGAGTAACATTGTATGATTGCTGGGCTGGAGACTGAAACATATATTTGTTTCTTCCAATTTTATTCTGTATCCATTTTGTAACTACTCCGAGCACAGGACCCTAGTAAGTGACATGTCACATACATTGCAGGGGCAGGTTGAAGGTATCAGGAGCTGACTTTCTCTGGGATCATCAAACAGAATTTCAAGATCAATTTCCAAAGACGCAACTTTTAAGCAATAATTCCTGAGCAGCAACCCACCAACGTGTGTGCAAAGTTGGTCATTTTTGCTGTGTGTTTGCTACCAACACCTATTTCAAGTCCTATTTTCACTGCCCAGTCCTTTAAAATTTGGAGATCCTTCTGCAAATCTTTACTGTTAGGTTTTGTTGTTTGTTTGTTTTTTCTGATGCAGGTTTATAAATCTGCTGAAAAGCACGTGCTTTGTCAATGTGCTCCAAAGCTAGTTCTTTATCATACCAATGAAAGATGTCTTCTAATGATTCTCTCCATAAAGATTTTGTCTATTACAGTGCCCTGTAGGATATGGCACGTACCAAAGTCCCTGATGGGGTCACAACATCACTATTTTCCAGTGAAGCCTGAGCACCTCTATAGAGGTGTGTAAACATGGACACATAAAAATAATCAAATTTTTAATTTACAGTTCTAGTTTCTGTAGGTGTTCTTTCTTACTGCCTGTTCCTACCAGTGTTAGGGTTTATAGCCATCTCTTCCTGTCCCAACCCAGCACAATACAAGAAAAAAAATGTATATTATGGCTAGTTTTTAATCCCTTTTGCAAGCTGTTTCTCAAACTTTTTTTGTCTGCCTTATTCTAGTTTTTGTATTTAACTCATATGTGAGTTAATAAGCCTCCCCATTTTACTTAATTCCCCCTTTCCAACTTAAACACATCAGTTATTTCTTTGGCTTTTATTATTCCTGCAAGAATACTAAAACTACAGTCTGGCTCTTCTAAAGCAACGTCTGAATCCAGCCGTGAGTACTGCTCAGGATCACGTCAGGATCTGCCGCTTTGCTTGGGATTCTCTGGGGAGCTGCTCTAAGAAGTCACTGTCTGTGGCATCTCCACAATTACACTTGGCATCACACCCCGCTGTGTGCCATCCAGCCCGCACAAGGCCAAGCAACTCCGATGCTGTTCTTTCCGACCCTCGCTGCCTCTCTGATTTTCCTCAGCAGCTCAGTCGTACACTGGGTGGTCAGTCACCGGGTAGTTTTTTCTGTACAGAGCTGCTGTTTTACTGACAGAGCTCAGCAGGCACCAGATTCGAGACTACAGCTTTCTTCAAAACATACTGCCGCTGCTCCTCTGGGGCAACCTATTCCACTGCTCCTGTATAAACTGAGTCCTGCTGTTAGAAGGTCTCACTGACTGGCCAGACGAGCGTTCCCCTTTCAAGCCACCCATTCCAGTTCCCCCTTGCACTTCCCAGCTTTGTCTCTGTAAGCACACAAGCTTTGGTTCCATCATGCCTTTTTTTTTTTTTTTTTTAACCCTATTTAAAATCAGACCATTTGTTCAGACTCCTTTTTGCCACTACCTTTATGTTCTGCCAACCCCAAGCCTTGCATTAGCTTGAGGACACGCCGCTCTTACAGCGTCACCCCAAGGAAACACATCACCCCAAACCGTGTGCGCTCCCACACCCGAGACTCTGCCGCTAGGAAACTGTTAAAGATTTGCCTATGAAAGCACTTCAATTTCAAGTGCCAGAAGCCTGGTTTTAATTTCCTCCAGATGCAGTTTTTCCTTTCCACACAGGCTCCCTCTGTTCCACATGTTTCTCTAGCTCCCAGCGAGCCTAAACACTTTCCTCCTACTCCCCACTGCACAGTGGGGCTCTGTCTTTCTCACCTTGTATTTTCCTGCAGATGACAGCAGGGCACTTCAGGAAAAGCCATCACAGGAGATTTTACCTTCCTACACAGAAAACCTTGCTCTGCCTCTCTCCTGAACCTCCCCAAGATGTGAGTTTCCACACAAGCCTGAAGCCACCACTTTCTGCACCTCATAATCCCACGCTGTCATTGCTGGATGAAATGCCTTTGTGCCCAGTAACTAACTGGCACGGTCTGTCACCTCAGATGAAGAGGACACGCTACCAAATCCATCTGCAAACAAAGAACTCACTGCACTGATTCCTCCTTTCTCTTACCCAAACTGCAAGACCTTCCCAGGGAAGGGAACGAAGCCCACCAGCCCATCTACTCAGGTACAGGAATATGCCGTGTTTGGGGTACTTTACCCTCTCACTGGGTTTAAATCAAGGGACAGTACTTATTTAAACAGAAAAGGCTTAGCAGAAAAATATCGATTGAGAACACACATCACGCCTACCCCGATCTGCTCCAAATATCAGTTCCAGGACACACTGCACTCATTTCCTCTGCAATGGTACATTCAGGCTCCTTAGCTAACCGTTCTTGTCCAAGCAGGAGACAGCACATCAATACATCAAAAAATATGCCATGCAGCACTTTTCCTCCTGCTTCACAGCACCTTTTATTGTTTCTCTCCCCCTTGTTCTCACAGATGTTACACAAAAATTCCCAAATGAGTATTAGTCACAGAATGCAAAATGCATCCAGTGTTGACCTGAGACACCACCTATATCCACGTGCATGCTCCACTGGTTTCACAGCTGCATGGTCTACAACTGGAGAGTGCCTCTGAGTCCCTTCAAGTGCCCACTAAGAACTTCAGAAGCAGAGAGCGAGCAAGGTCTTCCACGAGGACAGAGGAACGGTGTGCACCACCCACCTGCTGTATCCATTCCACACAGGTCCCTGCTACATCTTGGCAGCACTGGAGACCTTTCAACTCACATTAACGTGGGTGACTTCTTGGAGAAAATAATAAATCAAGCAGTACATTACCATAGAGAATCACCCTGAAGCCCTAGGATTAGGATGAGAGGGTAGAGTCTTTGTGATTGCAGCTAACAGAACAAACCAGGTTGGACACACCTCTATTTGTGGTACTTCAAGTGCAAAGTTACCACGCAAAGCAGCACTTGCACAGACAACGTGGAGTGGCATACCAACATTCACGTGGGCAGACTGGAGAGACATATTTCATAAACTGACACAAGCTATGTTAGGAAGGCTATTTAGTGATCAGATTATGCCTATGGCTTTAAATTAATAGCTACCATTAAATATGTCAGGTTATTTTTCATATAGATGAGCCCCTGGATGAATCAGTATGAAGCACTCACCCAAACCTCAGTATGAAGTAGATGAACTAAGAGAAAGTTAGCCTGGAAAACCTTTTGCCTAAGTTGCAACTCATTTCTCATTCTGCATTTTTATTGTCTGTTTCTTAAAGAACATTTTCTTGATGTGGTACTACACACCCACACACCCCATCTTTAAGCAGAAATCTTCTACGCCACAATGGTACAGCAGCTCCTTGCCCAGATTGCAATCCCTTTGCATACAGTCGTAAGAAAAATTAGGCTGGGAAGGACATCTGGAAGCTCCTTCCTACCCTAGTCCAGTTTCTCAGGGCACTTTGACAATCTCTCAGCCTGGAGACTCTACAACCTCCCTGGATAACTATTTCCAGGGCTTAACAGCTCTCAGGGTGAAGAATTTTTATGTTTTTACTATAATTTTTTCCCTTATGTCCTGGGCCACTTGTGGCAGCTGCCTCTTTTCCTTGCATGGTGCATCTCAGAGCCTGGCTCAGGTTTCTCCACAAATCCTCACTGTCACACAGCCTCCCCATGCTGACAGACCTCACTCCCAAATCTTTTCCTGACAACACATGGGAAATGGCAGCAGGAGGGGACAATGCTTCAATTTTTACTTCAGCTGCCCTCTCCACCAGCAGATCACACAATGACTGACGTTTTCAGAGTAGGAGCACAAGCCACTGGCTAGAGCCCACAAGTATGAGTAACAGAGAAGTTGGTTAGGAGCTTTCTTCCCCAGTCAAAAACTAACTCCTTCCCCTGCCAGGAGTTCATCGCAACATAAAACTGAGTCAAGAACAAAGTTAAAAAAAAAAAAAAAAAAAAAAAAAAAAAGAAAGAAAGAAAGAAAGGAGGAAGGACCGATGCCTGCCATGCAGGAACTGACCCACTTGCACCCAGAACCTTCCACCAGCACCATGCGGGGACACGACGCCTGCTCCATGGCAAAGGATGCCTCAAACAGGACCTGGGGTGGGAGACGGGTTTGTGACAACCACGTCCAGGCACACCCGGGGGCTGAAGCATCACTCTTTCCCTCACAAGTGACATTGATTATAATTATTTTTTAAACTGAGCGCCACGCGCAGCACTAAGCCTCCTCGGGACAGGCGCAGGGACCTGAGAGCTGGCTAAAACAGCGAGGCAGCAGAGGGGCAGCTGGTGTTTCCGACGACGCCCCCCTACACGCACCCCAAATCTCCGCCCTGGACGAAGCAGCCCCATTTCGGCCCCGCGGCTCGCTGTGGGGGCTCCCCGAAATGGCCGCCGGCCCGCCGCGGGGTCCCTCATGGCGGCGGGCGGGGGGCGCCCGGCGGGGCAGGGTGCAGGGGAAGCAGCCGGGGGAGCCCGAGGCAAGGTGCGAGGGGGACGAGAGGGGGACGAGAGGGGTGGCGGCGGCTCACCGTGCGGCAGCGCGTCCTGCAGCAGCAGCAGGCTGAGGAGCACCCAGAACCGCATGGCGAGAGCGGTCGGGGCGCTGGGCTGAGGCGGGGCGGGCGCGGCGATGGAGGCGGCCCGGCAGCGGCAGCAGGGGGCCCCGCGGGGAGGAGCCGGCGGCTGCGGGGAGCCCCGGGCCGGCACCTCACGGGGAGAGGGCGCAGGCGCTGACCTGGCCCCGTCGGGTGGTCTGCTGGGCTCTGCTGCCTGCCTGGCACCTGCTTCGGCTCACATGGCGCACTTCGCAGCTCCGTCGTCTCCACCGCTCCCCATAAGGCTGGAGAGGGTGGCAGAGGGGGCCCCCAAAAAGCTCCGCTTCTCCAGCTGCCTCCTCTGGTCGAGGGCTGGCTCTGCTTTCAGTGCTGCTGCACGTAATGATCTGCTCTGCACGTGTGGAAGCTAATTATCTTGATTAGCTCATCAGTGACCCTTTTGCCAGATGTGGCTGTGCACTGGTGGTTGCCATCAGCCTATAGAGGCTTCTACGTGCAGGGTCACTGCAGGGTGCTTCAGGATTGAGCAAGGTGAATGCCGAGGACTACTCGCTCCCTCTGGAAGTCAAACCTAACATCAGCTCTGGTTTGGCACCATAAGTCGAAACGCCCAAATCAGAGGGTGTTATGCTGTGTTTTGATGAGTTCTTGAGTGCTTAGACGCAAGTATGAAACACACACTTCTACTCTGCCCATCCCCAGACCACTGGAAAAAATAAAGGATTTAAACATAAAACAGTTTTTTTTTTTTCTCCTCTACAAAAAGTATAGGAACTATGACGCTATTTATTACAAGTGAGTTATGGTTAGTATAATGTCATGACATGATGACACACTAGTGATTATTAAGTCACTGTATTACTTTAGTATTTACTACAACTACAGTGGTGATTGAAGTTAGAGGTGTTGTATGATGTACGTACAAGTGATATTCAGCTTTATTTAAAAAATACAGGACAAATGCACAATTGTTATCCCATGAAGCACATTTTACAGTAAATGAAGAGCAACATAATTTCCATTAGAATTTAGAACTAATGTAACGAGAAATATTGCTGATTCTAATGCTGTTGAAAAAGTGGAAAAAAAAAAAAAAACAAACAAGCACCATATTTTTAAATATATGCATTTTTACATTCATAAAAATTCAAGACTTTTCATTTTGGCTAGAGCACTTCAAAGAAATATAAATTTGTAGTTTACGTGGCATGATAATCATTCTATCTATACTTTAAATGCTCAGCAGCACATAATACAGAAATTATCACTACAATGTACATATGAACCAGAAAAGTTAAAATGGATATAAACATTACTGTTTTTAAAATGATACACATAACTGTTCTTAAAGATATGTAACATATTTCACGCTTTGCTTTCTGTTAATACAAAAGAAAAAAAAAAAGCCCTCCTAAACATTTGAATCGTGTTATCCTTTGTCCTGACTGCAACTAAACTTCTATTGGTGAAGGTGGAGTTTGCCTCACACAAGGCTCAGTGAAAACATACAAAGACAACAGAATTTGTCCAACTGACAACAAAAATAAACAATTATATATACACATAGATCTTCGTAATGCATGTCTATGCATGTCTATCCTTCAACTTAGCTAACGTTAAAGGGTTTGATTTGTAAAATCAAATGGAAAACAGATCAGGACATGGTAAAGGCATTAGATTTAGCTTTCAAACGGTCCAACTATAAAAAATGAAGAGGTCCTCAAAGTATGTACCAGGAAGAAATATTAAAGGTACAGAAAATTAAAACCAAATACAAAGATCCTACACTATGTGAAAGACCACCTGCTGTTTCTGTAAGATACATATTTACTTAACACTGAGTAACCCCAGTGCTTTCAATGAGCATACTACAATTTGTAATCTTCCTGGCAGGTCTGGGAAGAATTAGGGCCTTAGAATAAAAGGTGCTTTTACTTTCTTTCTTATGTTATCAAGTAACACATGACTGACATCCTGTGAATTGAATTCCTACTGTACAAAATGCACCTCAATGTCAAAGGCAACAGACATGACTGAAATTGCACAGTCCCATGCACATTTCCCACACTGTCACAGCTTTCACCTGGGTTTTTTAGCTGTCAGTATCTCAGGATGCTTGCAGGGTATCTGATCCTGCACTTTATTAAAAACCTCCATGAAAACAGTATGCGTTTTATTTCTGAAAATATATATATCAACACATAAACTTTAGGGAAAAAGTGGCTAGACTTTTACATTCATCATCTAATAAAATATAGAATATGTATTTAAGCTTTACCATGTTTTGCTTCTAAATTCATTGTATCATTTGAAGTTTCTGCATGGCATAATTAAGTTCCTAAGTATACATCTAAAAGTTACCCAATATCACTACTATTTCTCTTTATTTCTGATAATTCTCTAGAGCAGGCAATATAAATGCCCTTAACACATGGTGACCACAATATGACAGGTTCCAGGAATCTGCCTTGCATTTGTTGTGCAGGAAAAAGCGCGCTTTTTTATTAATAGAATAGTTTTATCCAGGGTAACAGACAATGGAATCTAAGATACCTCATAAAATTTCCTGTTGCAGCATTAGGACTAGAATTTGGAATACCACACAAAGATCACTTCAGTTAACATGAATTATACAGAAATGCTTTATAACTCTTTACGCTTCCCTGAGGGGGAACAAAGAGATTTATTTGTTCTCCCTTAAATATGATTTAACTTACTTTCCTAAATCCAACTAGATAAAAATAATTCCTATATCTAAAGGCACATTGAGAATGTACCAATGTAAATACAGTTTTTGGAGGAGATTTTTTTTTCCACAAAGAAAGAAAAAAACAATAGGCTACCTCCAAAAATAGATATATATTAATACATACCATTATTATTTGCACAGAACAACTTACAGTATCAACAACTATGTAAAAAATAACAATGTAATTCCACTGGACATGTGCTTTCAGCTGCTGTCTTGGCAAATACAGACACGTGCAGCAAACATGAGAACAAAATCAGGATTTGTTTCACGCATACCTCCTGTGTAAGAACAAGCTAACATGGCTGTCCCTCACAGGGCCTGCTCCTGCAAAGTCCCAGAACAGCATCTGGAATTTCAAGATTGCATATACAAATGCATATCAAAATTAGCATAAATACCTTATTTCTGGCCTGTAGCGTTCTTACTTAGCCACTAAGCAATAACAACATTAACTATACACACACATAAATAAGCTTTGCACAGTTGAAGCAACTGAGAACACCCAATGACTTTCCCCTAATTTGCTTTTCTGTCTAATTAGTTAACTGTTATCTCATTAGTTAACTTGGTTCCTGTGCTGCAGCTGCTTCCAATCCCCCTCAGCAACAACTGTACAGTCACATTCTTTCATTTTCATAGAGTTAATTTCTATAACAAGGAGGGAGAAATACTCCTACAAATGAAAGGGGAAACTGTCTATATACAAAATACACATAAGTTGGAAATACATTTCTCTAACCTACCTCCAGAAGTCTTGGCTAGCACTTGCTTTAGTCATAAGGTTATTACGTGGACAGTCTCCCTTCAAAAGAAAATTCCAGTGCAGTACAGAAATTATTGTAATCAGTACATCAGAATTACTATGGGCTAATGTCAGACAGATGCAAACATACAGACAGGCGTGCACACATACATTCTATATGATGGCTCTGGGAGGGAATGGGGTCTTCCTTGCACATCACAGAACAGCAGCGGTTTGCACCTTGGGAGCCTGCTTCGCCTGCTCTGTGGCATCAGCATCCATAGGAAAATGTCTCTGCTTCCCCCACACCGAGGCGTGCGAGGAAGTTTAAATGAGCTGCACTTCACTCTAGGCTTGTAAAGGCATTGTGCAGAAGCTTTGACTGAGCAATGCTGACTTGCTCCAGTGGCATGGCGTTTTTGCAGCTGAGAATTTAAGAGGTGAAGATGTCCTCCAAAGAATAACTGCTGTAGAAACCGTGCTCTTGATGGAATAGTTACAAATCAGGAAAAGCATCCCTGTCTACTTCAAATATTTGTGGTACTTTTAAATAAAGCTTCTGTTTTGACATCTATAAGGATTACCTTATTATATTCCTTTCAATAGAGCCTAGAAAGTCTTAATTTTCTAATGTTTTATTCAAGAACATACAGTTCTTTTGTCTTTTTTTTTTTTTTCATAAAAATGGGCCTCCCTCGAGAAGTACAATTAAAATAGAAGATCCAACTGACATAAAAAGCTCTTTCATTCACTGAATAGGTACCAAAACTTAGCAATAGTTTCAGGATTACTATTGCTAACAATTACTATCCATTCCTATCAATCAAACATTTACTTAGACTATCATCTGCTTCTATTAGGCTAATATGGCATTTTAGTGTTTCTTTAATCTTGTAAAACAATGATGAAATATGGAAAGAAGTGGCTATAACTTAGGATCAATTCTGGATGGATTATGATGCATTAAAAAATTGGACTGCATTGCCACCTACCCTAGAGTGTCTTATCCTCTGTGTCCCATCCATTTGTAAGGACCACTGATCTGTGGAACAGTCCTTAGGACAACAGCAGTTACAGGACGCCCATGCTAGATCCTCAGTTAAGAGGCAGGTGTTTTTCCTGTTGTATGCTTCTTATCCTATAACTCCAAAGAGAAACACAGGCACCTACAAGTGCTCTGCTTTGGTATTCTAGCAATTTATTTTTTTTTCTTCCCTAGATTACTCTAAATCCAGGAATATGCCCCAGACGACAAGCAGAGGTGAAGATCTTTTCAGATTGCTACTCCTAGTGCTCAGTAGCCAGCAGAGGCCAGTAGTGCAACAGCAACATCTCCCTTCCATGCTACCAGTGCTGCAAAATACTCTCCTCCCAGTTCAAACTGGGATTCAGAAAGGCATCAAGCTGAAATCTACAAACCTATGGGATTCCAATAAGGGCTATCGGCACATTTCAGAGTTCTCTATCAAGAAGCTCTTTCTGTCCTCCTACATTTAGGCATGTTACTCTCTTACAACAGAACTCATTTTTAGATTAAAAAGCCCAAATCTACTGCTGTGAAGAAGACAGGAGGGAGGGAGACAGACAGAAGCAGCTTGACTAGTTTTTTTTTTTCTTTCTTTTTTTTTTTCTTTTTTCTTTTTTTTTTTTTTTCTTTTTTTGGTAAAATTCCAGCTACTATAAAAAGTAAGGTGCTTTTCAGTGTCAACCAACATCACTCTCACAGGATATAGGATTTTATACATAACAACAGAGATTAATACCAATGATTATTACTGGCAATATTATGCTTCAGATTGCAATACTCCATGATGAAGTTCAACACAATTCTTTCTGACTTTAAGGAAGATATTTCTATAAATGCCTTCTAGCAAAGTAACTCCACATCATGAAATCCTACTATCTGCTGAAAAATAGCATTAAAATGTTTGGGTGCCTTTGGTAGGTAGAATGACTTTTATGCTGAAAGAACACAGTTCATTTTCACTAGCTTTAGTTTAACCCAGCACTGCTGTAACAATTCGGTTCTTTCCACAAATCTGCATTTGGACATCCTACCCACATGAATGGATTTGTGGATATAGGCTTGGCTCACAAAAACCTGATGTGCTAACATATGTTTATGGCTTAGTTAAGAACTGAAATATTGCTTTGAAGAGGATTCTTTCCAAAGCCTGGGCTTCAGTTTTTTTTCACCTCCCCTTGGATCTGAAAGAAGTCAAGGATTTTGTACATAAATTTTTCTGCAGAGAAGCAATGTGTAACGACAAATCTCAGAAGTATCAACTCTGTCACACGATAAAGGACAAGGAAGTATAGGGGGAATAAATGAGTAGTGCTGAATGAAAGTATGCAATTACATAGACAGGGATAAAATCTCATCCCTTCTGAAAACAACAGTAGAGTACTTGCTAAATCATAAACAAATGTCAATATTGTGACCAAAAGATTATTTCCCAGATGGTTTTGCAGAAAACAAGATAACTCCTCTTGGAAGTATTTTATATACACAGTATCTCTGAAGTGAAAAGAACTCATGTAACCTAGAAGTAGAAATCTTGAATAGCATTTAGATGGACCAGAAGCCTTTAAAGAATTTTCTCTGTTTGAGTTCACCATGCCTACTAATTAGTAAGGCTAAGCAATTATTTCTCTACTATTCTTATATAAATGTGATCCTCTTTTTTATGCCAAATACCAGATCTGTACATTTACCATTTGTTTTCCAAATATTTTCCAGGCTTATCTTCAATTTATCTCCCATGAGAGTTACTTCTGCAGAGAAAAGATAGCACTTGGTATTTCAGTAGTCAGTGAGTTAGCTGCTTTGTTATTTGAGATACTATTCGATTGTGACCAGAACATGTAACAGAGATAAGGAGGACATATAAAAGGCACTTCACAATGCAGTGTAAAATATTCAGAACTTCTCGCAGTTCTGAAGTCCTTCATATTCTGTGATTGCCAGTGATCATGGATGTTCATAATGGATGCTCAAACAATCCATCCATATTTTTGTTTTCCAAAGGGTACTTTTTTTTTTTAATTTTAATATTAATCTCCATGCTGTCAGTTCTGAAATGATGAAGATGGTTTAGCAGCTTGTCCAAAGTATCAGCCAGGCCTTGTAGTAAACACTTCCAAGAAGCACAATGTTGGTAGAAAGCTTTTGAAATTTCAGTTCGCAAGTAAAATGTCAATTAAAGGCTTAAAAGACTTGTATATTTGCATAGATTAACATTCACTTGTCCTCTCATGTGCAAGAAACTGATCACTTTCATTTGTATTTTCAGGTTCATCCGCTTCTTCCACAGGGTTCTTTTCTTGCAACCCACTATTTTCTGAGCAAGAATCTTCATCTCCATCACTGCGATGACCTTCAATACTGTGCCTAATGCCATAAGCAAAATAAATGAAGAAGCCTTCAAAATAAAAAAAATAAAAATAAAAGTTAATAGGGCTTTCATGTAAGTAGCGCATTAAAAAGCAGTTATTTATTACCCTCTGGCTGAGCATGATTTTCAAAGCCAGTTTCCTCTTCAGGTATCAGAATTACAGTTCATGCTTCAGGTCTTCTTTCTTAGTATGAAAAGTGCAGGCGCTAAATTCCAGTACATCATTTTTTGCTTTAACTGATTGCTCTAATAGGCCATGGAAACTACCATCTCTGATTTATGACTAAATAAAATCAATGCAATTTTCCATATTTTGAATGAGAATGACTGATGTAGCAGGAAGAAAACTGTTACAAACAGGTCTCTGCACAATTTTAGCTATGCTTATTAGAAATAAAAGCTTAGTAGCTTACTGGAATTACTCCTGTATTTTTGATTCTTCCTATTACCTCAAAACCATACTTACAGTTTTGGCTGTGTATACGTACGCCTTCTAAGGCATGGTTTGTTTTTATTACTACTAGAAATATCAGCTGACTTTTATTAAACACAGACTTTTGTTCCAATATTTAATGGAAGAGGATCGAATTATCTGAGACAGGATTCATCAGTCCTAACAAAGGAGGTGATTGAAATGCGCACAAGTACCTACCAAGCGCCATCCAGAAGCTGAATCTGATCCAAGTGTCTCTGCTTAATTGTACCATCAGGTAAATATTTACCAGGATACTGAATGATGGTAAAAATGGTAATAGTGGAACCTAAAGGGAAATATTTAAAATATTTTTAAAATTAAATACTATTTCTTGCATGCTTGCACTATTAATACCATACTTCAGTTATGCAACATGAACTAGAGGTGACACATTTTCTCACTAAAAAATAGGAAAATTTTCTTAATGAAGTATAGTGAAATTTTATTTTTTTGCTGTGTTTAACCACCAGTTTCTATATATCTTAGACTCTTAAAGCAAGTTATATTTAAAATATGCTCTCTAAGGCTGTGAGGAAAAGTTTTCCAGCTTGTGCTGAACATATACCAATGGATTCCTTGATGTACAGCTGAAAAGTATTATTTCTATCTTTATATATATATATAATGAAGGGATAGCGTTATATATATTAAAAGAACACACCACCACAACCACCCGGCTGTTCTATCAGATTCCTTCACTTTCATCACTGTATTTCATTATTTCCAGTAGTCCATTACAAACTATTCTATAGCTTGTAGCTCTTGGAAAATAAGTGAAAGGTCACAATGAAAGGTTTATACTCTGGGAGGTATGAACTGTGCTGTGGTCCAACTTGCTGCACACAACACAGACAAGCTGTCTGTACACTGATCATTTTCTGAATCCTTTCGCAGCATCTAAGTATTTAAATTGGGGATCAGAATTTCTTGGGTCTCAACATTTTGGGGATGTGTCTGAAAGAATAGCTAGAAGATCTGTGTTGTCAGACCCACTACTTTTAACAGCAACCCAATAGTTATACCCATTTTGTGCAGCCATGCTCCTACGCATGTCACACATTCAATCTGAGGGCAGCAAAACACTTTCTCTCGATCTGAGAAGATCTGGACCGGACCTACACATGCTGATGATTCAGCTGTGAGCATCCACTACCCTTACGTTCACCGAAAACAAACACACACAGTAGTAGCAGTGCAGTAATGAAAGACTGCCTGAAAAAGACCATCTCTGTCTCCCTCTGCCCCTCTCCCAGTTCTTAGAATACACCCAAACCTCTCATTAGAGCTATTATGTTATTCACCATAAAGGCCACTTTCTGCTGGTTCTGAGGCTGCCTTTGGATGAGGAGAAGGGTAAGTATGAAGGACACCACCAACGCAGCAAGAAGGCCAATACTCCAGGGCTCCAAGTTAGCAATGAAATGAGTCCCATATGTAGTGAGAACACTCAAGCCACAAACCAAGAAAGCTGTGTGAAAAACAAAATGATGGAAATAGGAGAGAGATCACTAAATCTCTGCGTTGAAGAGAAAGTGACTTTTAAGAAGAAAGACAGCAGAACTTCAGTATGAAATGTTATGAAAATGATTAAGTAATGGAAAACACGCTAGATTACAGATTAAATCAATCAAGAAACAAACAAAAAAAAAAGCATTCTCCAGAATGATGCATCAATGATGACTGAAAGTAGTTATGTTATTACTGGATTTTTGATTTTGCCTGTGATAGAATTCTGCTATTTACATTAATGTATTATGAGCTTGAACAGCTGAAAACTTACCTAACAGACCCACTAAAAAGTTAACAGTAGTTGCAGTCTGTTCTGTAGGTAAACTGGATGGATTAATCAGGGTCTGAAGACTGAAGTGATTCTCTTGTATCATATTTATCTGTGATTCACTTACTGCAGATTCCCTTTCTGATGCAGCCAAAGCTGCTTTTTCTGGAGAATATTTGGGTTGCTCATAGGTTAAACTGGGTTGGTACCTGTGCAAAAACAAACAGGATAATAAAGTACTAAGTATACTTTGGAAATTGAAGGAATATGCCTCTAGGAATGCATCTAAGTAATAAATGCTTTGCAATAGAGATTCAGAATTTCCCAATTTATAACTGTACTGCAACAGCATATTATTAGTCACTAATATATATATAAAGAAGTAATAGTAATTCACTTTTTTTCCTGACTTTGTTTGTTTGTTGGCAGTTTTTTAAGCTATATGAATGCACCAATGGGTCAAATAAATTACCATTATTATACAAAGAGAGGGATTTGGTGGTCAATAGCAGGGAAAGGGGAGAGAAACTTCTTTCTACAGTGGCAAGTTTGTTCTGCCTTGCTTCCAATATGGGGCTTACTAACTGGCATGAACTCAAATTTTACATCTCCTTTGTTAGAATGTAAGTGCATTTTAAAAAATACATTCTTTAAATAAGTCTGTATGAAATAAAATAGTTTTCTCTAAAGAGTAAACTATTGCAACATTGAATCTGAGCTGAATTTAAGCTGTATAGTTTTCAAAGTTACCATTTTAGCCTCATATGGTAAGTAACAAACACTGACTTATTAATTTAAAAATAACAAACTAAATAAAGAGATTGCCTGCAGCTATAAGTATATCAATATTATTCAATTGTTTTACAAAGAGAACAGATAAGAGAGTTTAACTGACAATTATTTATAATCTTACTCATTGAGAGTGAGTATTTATACTCTCCCCTAGGGCTACCACAACTTGAAATACTTGTCTGTTGTTTCTCTACCGAATTCTGACTAGGGCAATACAAAGCAATTATTTTAACTTGGTCTTCCTGTCAACTGATCTGTCATGTATAGCCCCCACAATGTGATAGGCCTGATGTACAGCGTAAATTTTATTCGAAATATTCATTGGTGCCTTTGGGACTGATGCTGGGATCAATGCATCTCCTGGAAAATGAAAGGTGCCTGGATTTCACATTAAGCTTTGATTTGAGTAGCTACTATACTGATATGACAATAAATCTGTTTTCTCTGATGGATCTCAACTTCTTAGTAGTCATTTATACACAAACAAATAGCTCTCAAATATGTAGCTATCCAGCAAAAAACGTATATTATAAATGTCACCTCTGTTTAGGTAGTGAACAACACAAACAAAAACACAGTAAAAATAGAAATGGTATTTTTGACTCACCTAAGAATGAGGACACAGGTTGCCACAAGTGAATATGCAAGAAGTGTGCCAATAGACATCATATCCACTAAAGCCTTTAGGTCAAACAGAAACGCCATTACAGCTAAAAAAGAAAATAAAATGCAAAATTTGTGTGAGGCTGATATACTGAGTCAAGATTTTAACCTCTGTCAGCAGCGTAAATTTAAATTATTTTACTGACAGCAATATAAGTGCAATCGTGGCATATTTTTAAGTCACAGCCAATATTCCTGAACCTAGTTTCTGTTGGGAAACTTATTCATATGGATATCACATCGATGGGCCATACAGTCATGCTGCATACTCAAGCAATTTGTATTGGATATATGTGGACATAAGTACTTGCATACATGCCTTGCTGAATGGTGACACATTAAAATGCAATTTTATAGAATAAGGTTCTGATGCTGCAACAGAATCTCATCAAAGTCGAGAGGCCAGCTCCCACAGCAAAGCAGGGGAACAATGATACAACCCAGTATGTCAGCTGAAACCGATGGTCTCAGAAAATGCTCTTTAAGAGACACTTGAAGGAGTTGTCTAGAGTAAAATAAGTGGTTTTGTTTTTGAACGATTATCTTACTAAAAGCAGTTAAATTCAAGTGGCCTTTAGGACAGACAGCAAAGTATCACAATAATTAATATTCTTAAGATCGCTGAAATCAGGGGCAGAAATTTCCATGATATTGTGAATAATTATGGCAGTTATTTATAAAGAAATTAGCACAATTAATTGAAATTAATTGTCACCAAACGAAAGGCTAGCATTAGTTGATTTGAGATGCATGTGGTCAAAAAACATCTTAAAATGTTTGTATTATTGAGATACAGAAATAATCCAAAAATATTTAATTTTTTGAATCACCAATAACCTCACCATCAAAAGAAACCATCACATGTAGCCTTTATACACTGTATGTGTATGTGCACACAAACTTTTCTATGTTCAGGAGTACTTATATATTAATATTTATCTTATGTTTGTTAATATCTTTGTAGATGGGTGTATAAATGAAAAAATACACAGCAACACGCATTCCCCTGTTTTCTGATCCTGAAGGAGACAGCAGGATGTGATTTCCAGAAAGCAGGACTGCTGTGTTACAGATATATTATTTCAGCTGCTAGTCTCCTCTTTCAGTGAAGGAAGGAAGACTGTTCCATCTTCTCTGATGAGGGTGGATGTCATTTATTATAAGACATCACTACCTCATCCATGAGGTAAATTTCTGAATACCTCACTGCCTTGCACACTCAAAAAAGTGTAGGTAAGCAAAGAACAGAACCTATTATAACCTAACATACAGTAACTATGTTTAACTTCAAATCCTAGCTTCAAAACACTACTTTGTAGCCCAGAACTTTCTCTTACACATTAGAACCATTGAAAAAAGACCCTAAGCTTCTGGGTAAGAGGAAAAAAAGACCTAGTATTGTTTTTTCACCCCTCTTAATAAGCTGTAAGAAACCATGGGAGACAAATTTACGCTGAAGGAACCTTGAACTGTCAACTAAGCGTTTCCCTGTGTGCAAAGTTTCACAATCATGATTACAGTATGTGAAAAGGTAAGTCACAATTATGGCATGTGACAACTGACTCAGCTGTAGTCTTGACCTGATAATTTTAATGGAGGCCAAACATTTAACAAGCTAACGGGGTAAAGGAGCACAGTTCTTAAAGCTATGCAACTATCCATGACAGGATTTAATAGGTAGGTCAGATAATAGGAATTGTTGTACACATCTGTAACTATTCTGGCAAAACTATTTATGACCACAAATTACCAAATATGCATCCTTTTAAAAATAAAAGAAAAAAAAAATACTCCTCCAGCAATAGATAAAGCTGTCTGCAGGTAAACTGTTCACACACCAAATTCCCTAAACTGTCTAAAAGCAGTCCAAGCAACTGCTATTGCAAAGCTATAGTCAGGGCTGTATAGCTCCCTCCATCAGTTTACTCACTGGGTAACATGTTTTTTTTTCTCTTCATCACCGTAATTTCAGGTAAAGATGTTAATTCTATCCCATATAATTGCATTTGCAAATTATTATAAAGGAAAAAGTCAATAATAAGTAATATTAAAACTCATGTTTTAGTCTCAGTTTTGAATCTCTTATTTGATAAAAATTATAGCCAGGGTTGTTAAGTGTTTTAAGGCATGTCTTTTATGTTTGAATTAGTTTTCGGACATTTATTTGCCTTTGAGTTAAATGCTTCTTGAGCTTCCAGTTTTCTGGGATAATTAGACATCCCCCTGAAATAACACAGTGAAAATTGGGCAGAACCACATGTACTTCTGCAGGAAGGTTGGACAGAAGTGAAAGAGCTATATGTTAAAAATTTCTTTTTGCAAAATATAACAGTTGGCACCTGCTCCTAAAATGCTGTTTTGCTAAAATATATGTGGGTGTGTACATGCAGACATATATGCATACACACACACAAACACACCCCTCCGCCATAATTTGGTATGCTTGTGCCAAAATAAAGTGAAAAAATCTACATATGTATTTTACACGAAAGCTGTAAATATCCCATTGCAAGTGTAGGATTTTTTTCTCACATCTCATAATAAAAAAGCTAGACAGCTGTTTTCCCACGTCATAGATGTGACACATATACACACATATATATATATATGCTCATTGAACAAGGAAACCCTGTATGGAGAGCATCAGCTTAAGTGACATAGATTAAGAAGCTTATTCACAGTACAAGAGACCAATATTAAAAAAAGAAAAAAAAAATCATTTTGAATTCTGTGACATTAAGGATGTTACCACCACCATGATTGGTATGATTCGAAGTTCTTACACCCTTTGATTACTCAGTAATTTTATTCCCACCTTACATGCAAGGGAAGTTAACAAGCAGCCCTTTTTCAAAAACATCAAATACCATGCACGTGCATAGAGTGCTTAAATCTCAGTTTTAAGAAACACGGGCTTTGAGAGCTTACCAGAGATGACCCCTGCTGTCAAGGTGGCAGCAACTGGTGCCTGCCTCTTACTCACTTTGGCAAGAAAACTAAAGAGTAAACCATCGCGTGCCATGGCAAACAGAATTCGGGGCAAAGGGAACATAGAGCCGAGAAGACTAGAACAGAAAAATGTATAGTTCAAATACAGGTTATTAAAAGCACAGTGCTTTACTGGTAAACCCAACTACACAAAAAGAAAGCTTGGAAGAGTGAATGGGTTTAGGTTTAGTTTTGGTTTAGGCTCTGTTTTGCTGCTCTTGTTTTTTGTTTGGTCGATCGGTGGTGTTGTTTAAGGTTTGTTGTTTATTTTGAACCTAGGCTATGACAGCTCTTGAGATTAACCAACAAATACAAAATCTGTGGCAGAGAAAAGTTTCACTAGTAGCTTACTTTACCTTGCGACAGTCATATTTGGTCATTTCAGTCACAAGCAAATCAAAATTGCACATATATTTTGCACATTTTCCATATATGCAACGCATTTAGCAGTGCACCTTTCTGTACAAGGATCAACTCTTAGTCTCACCTGCTACTGCACCAGACGATAGAGTAGCAACTAGTGGGGTCTTCGTTTTGGAATTGATTTGAGCTAGACATTTGAAAAGCAACCCATCCTTCGCCATAGCATAGATTACACGTGGCATTGGGAAAATGGATCCAAGAAGACTGAATAAAAAGCAAACACATGCAACATGGCAAATGCAGTTCATGCAGAGTTGTATCATGGAAAAGATAAACAATGTTAATTAATGGCATGTACAGAAACAAAATTTATGATTGTAAGACAACACCAGAAAGCCCCATAGCCCAAGATACTACAGATCAGACACAAATTTAAGTGTTTTTTTTTTTTTTGCCTGTAAAGTTGATTTTTTGGGGTTTGTTTTTTTGTTTTTCATTTAGGTAATGGAATTGCTTCATCAGAGTGAATTCAAGTTAGCAAAGTAACTCTTGCCATCACTGTAGTTCTTGGGCATTAGCGAACAAGGAACATGTTCCAGGTCACACTAACTATGCAATTAAGCTTTAGTATTCCTGGAAAGTGTCTGTCAGTCAGCAGCAGCAAATCAATAAGCATTAGCAGCATCTTTTATGCTCTATGTGAAGCTGCTGATTAACAGTAATTCAAAGTAAGTATCATACAGTTAACTTGGGCACATTATTTCTTTCAATTGAAGCACCTCAAGCCAAGCTTCATTGAGATAATTTCTTTTTTGGAAGAAGTAAAGGTAATTATTTTAGATTTATTGTTAGCAGCACACAGAAAGCTTTTAAACTGTTGATAACTCAAGGCTCTGTTTAAATAGACTTCTTAAATTAGGTGGTTTCTTTCTCAGAGAGTGAAATAATTGTAATTATGAAAACCAAAATCATTTAAAGGACAAAAAGCAAATTCACAGCCAGTATAACCTCTGCAGCAAGCATACTAATATTTAACCAGTTGAATGGTTGCCCATGTTACTTAGGAAATCAATTATACCACTTACAGAAGGCCCAGCTTTTATGTACCACAGATGCTAAGTACCTCTGGTAATGCTCATGAGACACAAGCATTTAGGTTAGACACACATAAAATAAGTTTCATTGCACATGAACTGATGTACGAATGCTCTTTCCAAAAAGAATGTTTCCAAAAAAGAATGTTTCCTGAATTAGGATGACAGTTTATTCTTTGAGTAAGGATACTGTTAAAGTCAACAGCTAAATTTTTGCTGTTTTGACTTTGTAAAATTTATTTATCCTATCCCTCTTTAAGTGAAGTCACATAAATAACGGAAATATTAATGAACGTCTTTATCCAGAGGAATCAAGTTCACAACATAACAGGTAACCATATGAACCAAAAACAATTATCCCAACTTTTTTGTTTTTGTTGTTAATTATACCTCTAAATTTAGGGATATGAAATACAATTTCATTAGATTTGTTCTAAATCGACATCAGTCAACAAAAACACTGGAAGATTACTCTTTCCATACAAGGAAATACAACAAAAAACACTAGAAAGAGGACAGCAGTTCAAATTTCTGAAACAGTGTTTTACCATCTCTGTTATTTTGTTTTCCAGTATCGGTTTCTTTAATCTAGTTTCCACTGTTACATATTCCATCTTAACATTTTAATTGATATTTATCAATAAAGGGCAAAATTGCAGTAAAACCCTTCAAACTAGGGTTTCAAGGGTTGACAACTAAATATGAAATATGACAGCTAGATAGAATATAGCTATAATCCCAGAATGAACTGCATAAATATGATATTGTTCAGTCAGCTTTATAATTTATGTCATTTTGGAACTATTTCCTCTTTCTGTCACCTCCTACATAAAAATATTCCTTTCCTTTAAATCACTGTCCAGAGTCACTGTGGTCATCTTCAACAGGCTGATGCTCACCAGGGTTATCTCAGAGTACTGTTGATATTCCTGCTTAAGCAGGCGTGTCTTTTTCCTTTGTGGAAAGCCAGTCAGTATTTGTATCACTGAAGATCACTTGAATGACTCCTTACCTAAGAAGCTCAGGTAGAAGACTGGCATCAGCATTCCACTATCCCTAAATTTAAGCACTGAGCAATGTTCTATGCCACGTTACAGACTGGAGTGTAACTTATATGAAGACAGACTAATATATCTCATGCTTTCCCTGATCTTTTTAATCAAAATAAGATGGTAAGTTAAGGCTGCATCCACAGTTTCACAAGGGGGAATAAACTATCCTATTTTCTCAGCTATAATCTACATCTCAAATACCCACAGGAAAATCATGGGAAGGGATGATGTCAGAAAACAGACTGGAGAAAAACAGACAGGCAATGAAGGTGAGAAGGGGAACTAGACTATTAAATTTTGCCTGCAAATACACAGAGCCCATAAAGCTGCTGAATCTTTGGACTGCAATAAAGGACAAGATGTGTGAGGTTTATTTCAACAGTTAATAGAGAAAATTTGCAGGTCATATGTCTGAAAATACTTATTGTAATAAAGAACTTTGGGGTAAAAAGTCAAGGAGGTAGAGTCCAATAACAGTACAGTTTAAAAAGGGAACATAAATTAACACACATACTGTTATCAAGACCTGCTTAAGTCTAAAACGTGTGTATAACACTTATGGACAATCCTTTGTCCGTAGTGAGCCTTCAAAATGAACACATGAATGTATATTTAAATGTCTTACATTACCCATCAGCTTTTCCAGAGAAAATTAGCATATCAAAGTCTTTACCTTGTGGACAAAGCACAGAGGGATCCCACTGCTACAACATATTTTGCAGGACCCCATCCAACATATGCAAATGCTACTGGCAGAGGACTTTTCTCATCTAGTATATAGTACGGCATCATAAGAGTCAGTGCAGCTGAAACCCCAAAATAGGCCATGAAGCAGACAAGCAAGGACACCACAATTCCTATGGGTATGGCTTTTTGAGGATTCTTGACCTCTTCTCCTGAAAAAAAGAAAAAGAAAAAAATACCAAAAACTCTTACTATTACATTCAGCTTTAAAATACAGCAATGAACACAAATTAGTACTTTTGTAAGTCTAAACACTCAGAACAATATTTGTAATATTTTTTTTTAAATCTGCACAAATTAAGCTCATTGACATAGTATGTAACTCAATATTTTGTCGCCAGAATAGCATTAAAAAACAGAGGCATAATTGCTAGATATAAAATACATTCTATATTCACAGTAGTCAAAGCCCATAATTTCTAGTTCTTTTCCTATAATTTGTAAGTTCTAAGTACTTAATCCATACCATTCATATATGAGCCAGCCTTTAGGAGAGAGATCTTATCTCAGACAATCAGCAGGTGATTAACGTGATTTGGGCAGAAAAAAAACACATACTAAGCACTTCCCAGACTTCGAAAGCAACAATTAATTTATTTAGAATTGAAATTAAATAAGAAAAATCTCCTCCTTCCTCACAGCATGATAGTCACATTCAGGAACGAACTCAGACTCATTCTTTATGGACTGAAGAAGTTTCAGGACAAAGCAAAGAAAGGACAGTAAGCAGATTATGTTGTTTTGGAATCCACAAAGGTATATTACACATACATACATACATACATATATATTTATATACACATACACACACAGAGACATATAAATACTATACCAGTTGTTGCAATGCAGTCAAATCCTACAAAAGCATAAAAACAGGTTGCAGCACCAGCCAATGTTCCTGTGAAACCATACGGCATAAAGCCTCCGCTCCCGTATATACTGGTCACATTCTCATAGGGTGAAAAATTCCTATGAAGAACAAAAATACAGCAGAAAAATAACTTTTTTATTATTGGTAGGACAAACAAATACATCCTCCTCCCCTGCAACTTTGGAAAAACATGTAAAAATGCTCTCATCAAGACAGAGTTCTGCTTTACAAAACTGTACAAGAAGACATCTGCATGTCAAAAGTTGCATGACAAAAATAACAGTAAGTGGAATAATAGCTGCATCATGTAACTGTCACCTTACTCCCTTTACCGTTTGTTGGTAAGAGTATTAAAATACTAATGACGTAGAAATCTGTTGTTGTCATACATTCTGCAGCTAATACATGGCTTAAAGACAAGAAGCCAGTAACTTCTCAAATAGCCACAGACAAGAGTGTCAAAATAAGACTTTAGAAAACTTTTTAGGAAACTACAAACATGAAAACAAAAATATTTTTAAGGGCATAAAGCGCTTATCACTCCCATCAACACAGCTGTCTGTTAACACCTGCAATAGCACAAAAGGAAGCATAACAAAATTGCTTGGAATATGAGCAAGTAAATTGATTCTAAAAAGTAATTACTCTGTGATTGCAGTAAGGTTTATGAGATATTCTTCACTTATTTTCCAGTTGTCAGCATCTCCTTTCACAAAACCAGAAATCATAACGAAGAGTAGGACCAGGATGTTAATAGCAGTGAAAATTTTATTCACCCATGCAGATTCTTTTACTCCAAAAGATAACAGACCTATAAAATAAAAATAATTTTTAAATGTGAACAGTTACAGTAAGAAAAAAGTTATTTTCAAGACAATATACATACCAGTACAATGAATAATACTTTAAAAAAAAAAAAAAAAAACAGAAGTAGATTTTACACCTTTAAAAAGTGGTAGCACAAATTTAATAAACTGTCTGACAGCATGGCAACAGGGAAGTGTATTGGAAACCATAAAATGATAACTTTCTTTAATTGTACTCTTGAAATATTTAAAAATATTTTGAGCAATTTTTACTTATTTGTTTTCTGAGATTTGAGTTCGTATCTCTATTTCATGCTATGGAACAAAAATAGCTACAAAAATCTATGCTTATTAAAAACAGTTTGATAGAATCTATTATGCACAGAACAAATAATTATTAGATTGAACAAATTAGGTTATTGATCTAAGTTTTTCAGAGCACAACAGAGTAAGAATCCCATTTCGTAGCTCATTAACAAAAACTTTAGAATAAATGCACGCCTCCTGTTCCTAAGTACAGATTCACAGAGGTTCTAGAAAAAAAGATTGATATAAAATATGCGTGCCTTAGGTTGTAGACTAATGTGTTTAAATGATCTGAAAGTTATTCCATCAGGGTCCTACTGTGTAACAATTGTAAGCATACTAATAGTTTAATGGAACAGCAGGCAGAGAGCAGATCAAGAAAAATTAAATAGAGTGGGAAAGTCACCCTGGTTTCTTTGCATTGTAAGCATTTCCACTAAGAACACATACATGCTTTCCCTCATTATCTAGAGATTAACTCTGAAAATTTTACGCCTCTCAAGATAATGTCTAAAAAATTTCTGTCTCCACTAATGAGACATTTGCTATCTCATCATAACACAGAAGTTATCATGAGCTGCTCAATTTTTCTTCCCCAATGGTATTTTGGCCACAGTTTCTAAAGATATGGGTGTTGATTCAACCTGGGAATCTCTACACTGAAATGTGACTCACAGTGCAGGTACATCCCAAATCTAATTGAAAGCTTCCTTTTAAATAATTTTGTTCTCAAATATTTTTCAATTTTTCAATTTGGGTAAGACCTCTAGTGAATACTGAGCTGTTTCTAATCCTGGTGGAAAACAAGCTATACACTTTAAAACACGCATACAGCTTTCTTCACTTCCTTCACTCCTTTAAGAATACTTACTTGTTAAATGCAAACATAAAAAAAGTTTCAGTATTTTGGAGCTTTCTGATGCCTCAAAAGCCATAGCTTTGGTGTCAGTTTTTGTAATTTAAAAATACAACATGAAATTTTCATGTTAACATGAGATTTTCATGTTAACATCAGTCTATATCACAGATTTAATAAAAAGTGATTATTTCATGGTTCAGATTCAAGAAGAGTTCATATAAATTTAACTCCCAGAGTCATTTTGTCAGTACACAAATGTACATCTAAATTGTTCAAATATTATTAAGGTATTTCTGATAAAACACTAACTACAGTTTAACTTTTTTTTTTTTCCTTTAAGAAACTGACATCACAGCCATCATAAATGAAGACATATCTGTCTCTTACCTGATAGAAGCAATATAAGAAATACAGCAAAAAAGTCAGGATACTCTGCCAGTCCGGAGTAATTCATTTTGAAGTAGGTTCCGAAGAAATGACCAATCTGCTTTCCAAGAAGTTCATCAAAGGTGCCACTCCAGGCTCTTGCTACACTTGATGTACCTTCATAAAATACATGCATATTTAGTGTTTTGCATGCGTTCAAGGGAATATAGTTACTTCTATTGACAAGGAAATAAAACTAAGCATACTGCTACTTGTACTTACAAAAACAGAGCTTGTGCTAAAACAGTGATAATTTTGAAATTTTAAAATTATCAAAAGTTCCTACCTATTTAAATGATAACATATTATTCTACAACTAAAATATACAAATTTGTACTTCATTTGTTCCCCAAATATTGCAAAATTATTTCTGCATCATTTATATTTGCTATCATTCTGGAAGACACTTACTTCTAAAGCTGAATTATGGTACATTAAACAATGCAAAACAATGTAAGAAAATGGTTTAACAAAGAACACGAAGGAAAGATTGCCCACCTGGGAATAAAGCCCCCCCAAAAAATCACTAGCAAGACTTATATTGCTAGTTAGTATTTAAGACCAATACTCTCTTCTGGTAACCAATGTATGGGGCCATAGCTAAATACAACCAGATTTTAACCAGTTTCCTACTATGAATGTACTTTAAAACAACAGTTATATTGATTTTGTAGTGATTAGGGCAACATTCCTGTACGTAGATATACATATGTATATACAGATAGGCATGCTTATACACAATATACCAGAACACGTACCTGTGGAAGAAAACATATATAAACCAAATTTGTCATCTTTGCCAAGGCAATGAAGTAGTTATTTGAATGTCTGCCACATAAGCATTGATATTACCCAGATATGGTAAACTTTGTGTTTTATGAGATCACAACATAGGACATCATTTAATTAGCATGAGATTATAGTGACAAATTAGAAACTAAGCATTATGACTTTCTTGAAGGGAGATACTATAGTGATGGGGTCCTTATAAATGTCTTTCTGTGTATGTTTAGAAAAAAATATTGGTTTCACTGAAATTATTCTTGCTGACCAAATACAGCAATGAAATTATTCCTGCGCATCATCACTACTGTCTAGCAAAACTTTTGTATTAGTTATTTAGTTCCTGCTGCTGAAGATGGACTGTTTATAAAGCACCTCGTCTATTTATAATGGCAATGAACAGAAGGAAAAACTCTAATCAAATTACCTCAGTTATTTGATCCCTGAATAAAAAGAAACAGTAGCTAAATACACAGACAGAAAGACCCAAATCCATAACTTATGCCTGCTTTCTCAGAAACCCTCAAGTCCCGTGTTTGTTTCTTGGCTTACCTATAATATAGGATAAAATGAGATTCCAACCGGTGATAAAAGCCCACAGCTCACCAACAGTTACGTAAGTATACAAATACGCAGAACCAGTCTTGGGAACACGAGCACCAAACTCAGCGTAGCAGAGACCTGCCATCACAGACGCCAGGGCAGCAATGAGGAAGGAAACAACAATGCTAGGTCCGGAATCAGATTTGGCTACTTCTCCAGCAAGGACATAAACACCAGCACCCAGGGTACTTCCTACTCCCAGTGCTATAAGGTCCACCGTCGACAAGCATCGGCACAACTTGGAGTCCTCAGGGCTTTCACCGCCAACATTCTTCTTCCGTACCAGGCACCGAACAAAGGTCAAAGCTGGTCCACAGGGCAACATGGTGGATGGAGAGCTCTGAAATAAAATACATCATTGCAGTGCATTACAAGTACCCCAGAAAGAGTGAAGAACAGCCAAAGAAAGGTAATTGCACGAAGAACTTCAATCACACCTACTTATTAATATATTTACTCCTTTCTATGGCATTAAAAAGGCCATCATGTTTTTTTTCCCTGCAAAACACATGAGGGATTCAGTTATATTTAGCACTTATTCCTCTAGGGAAAGATATTCATCATCTTTAGGTTTACTACACTGCTGTTAAAAAAAAAAAAAAAAAAAAAGGAATAGCTTCTATTTATCCATTGTTGGTTTCTTAACCATTTATAAAACAGTACCAAAACAGACATCTGTCATTTCATGAATCATTAAGGTTTTTAAGATCATCCCCAATAAATATGGATTTTTGAGATGTAAAACTCCAACATCAAGGCTATAAACACCAAAAGCTTTAAAATGCAGCATTCTGACAGAGCCAGTGCAATATCTTTTTGGATTCAAATGATAGGGCTTTTGCCTTTAGAATTCACTTCAGTAAAAAACAGCTTGAAAGTAGATTAAAACAGTGTTTCTACTCCTTCCCACACAAACAACATTTCCCAGAAATAATTATCTTTAAAAGAAACATATAAACTCTCCCTGGCAAGCTTCTAACAAGAACCAGTAGGATAACTACTCATCCCATGCCAACTGCAGCTTCTTCAGTACCCTGAGTGCTTGTCGCAGTGTGGGGTGCAATAAGTCCTTGCCCATGAGGTCAGATTTTATGACCAGCTAGGTCCTGTAGGCCAGTAGGTGAGGAGCATTTCTCTGGCTTGTCATATGAGAAAATGACAAGGAAATAGGAAATCATTCCTCACAGGAAGTGATTTTCATTTAGACAAAGATACTCTGCTGGTATATCCTTCCCCATACATATCAGTCTCCTGAATCAGTAAAGGGCATTTCTACCCACAAAAGTTCAATCCACTAACGATGACTTTCAAGAGGGATGTCTCACTATGGCAGTATTTGATCCTGGAACAAAGACTCAGAAGCAAGAGGACTGCCATCCTGAATGCAAGATTGCCTGAAAAATATCCCCTTGGGTATTAAAGAGAGAGAGATATTTGAGCAGAAACATGTTCCTCCTCTTCCTGTAGCTCCCCAAGCACACTGACTTGTCACTTTCATCTTTAAAGAGGGTTCATTAAAGCTTCCATTCACCTTTCAGGGAAAGGAAAGTTGATAACGGAAAGTGAATGGAATTGAACAGCTCCAGGCAGTGATGTTTAGTGCCCATTAGAAAGGTGAGGGCTCTCCCAGGACAGAGCAAAAAGGCAAGACAGGCAAGTTTCCAAGGCTGTGTTGCAATTAGGCAGTTCAGCCCTTCGGACTCCCAGATATAAATATCTGCCTATGGTGTCCAGACCTCAGCCACTGAGGCAATTTCACACACCATGATGTGAATGTTGGCAGACAGAAGATATCCAGAAGCTCTTCTGAGGGGAATCGATATTGAACTATTCAGGCAAAATCCCCTACTGTAGCTCCTCCACTCTAGTAAAAACATCCCATTCCCCCAAAGGCAGGTTTCTCTGTCCTGGCTTGTAGTTTGATGAGTACTCCCATGACCATTATATTTTCCTATAATGACACTTCTGAATCAGTCGCAATCACTTAAAATGCAATATTGATATACTCATAAGACTGCAGCCCATGGTGATAGGCGGCAACACTGTTGTGACTCCATGCCTTTCCCTTTAGCAATTTCAATGTTGCAGAAATAAGGGTGGTTTTGTTTTTAAGGAGTGATTCATTACTTTTTTTTTTTTCTCTCCTCAAATAATAGATCATTTGGTGTTTCATTAACAGGAAAAAGTGTTCTGTCAGACTTTCTTCTCTGAACACTAATCAATTTCCAAGACTTTTGTTATTCAGATGGCATCTCAGATTACTCTGCTCCTTTGCAATTTGTTACCAGTCCTGAAGACTGTAAAGTCATTTATCACAGTGGCCAGCTGGGTGCTGTTAGTTTTCTCTGCTGAGAGACAATCTGGGTGACAAAATACGTACTTCTTCTGCTCCTACTTTCTCCTACTCGAGTGGAGAGAACAGGAGGCTGGCTTTTGCCAACCACAAGCTGGTAAGATGAAACACTGCTTCTGACTCAAACTGACCCTCCTCTCTTTAGTCTTTAAAAATTTGAGCACAAGCAAAGACAAGGTACAAGATACAAACCTTGTGTCTGTAGAGGAAAAAACTCCAGTATGAGGGATAAACATATCATTTTAGGTATATCCATCCTAACATGGACCTGAAGAACACATATCCTTCTATGATGACCACTGCAATCTTACTGTGTTTACTAATTATGTGTGAATATACAACAAACAATGTCTGAGTGCTGTTCCACAACTCCTGTTGCAATGTGCCAAGTACAGCGTGCTGCCCCATTCAGATTTGGCACAGGCGTCTGAAGAATCCAGCACCCATCACCCATACTTGACAAGAAGAACTGATGGGCTTATTTGGTCTCCACACGGGCCTAAATGGCATAGGAGGTGACAAAGTGTCTTCAGAAATCACTGGCAAACTTAACCTTCTTCCGAGGTGCCACCCGCAAGGTACTGCAATGCAGAAGGTGGTAATCCAGAGGAACAACCCAGGCACAGGTCCGCAGGGACATGTGCTGCCACACAAGCACACCTCACTGTCACGCTGTGGCTAAGCACGTCCCCAGCTCATCCACTAGCCACAGAAGCAGGAAGGCTCCAGCAGAAGCTGGGAGTGCCTTTTGGTGGCAGCATTGTCCTGGACAAGCTCACACTGACTGCTGCCACGGCACTGAAAAAGGGCCTCACTCCTGCTGCAGTGGAAACCTGCCTCTTCCCAGCAGGCTGACCGCTGGGGCCTCTGCTTCCTCGCTGCTTCTGCTGGCAGCAGCTCTGGCCGAGGCCCCTGAGGGCTGGCTGTGCACAGCTGACCAGCCCAGGCCCTTCTCCAAGGCCTCCTGGCAAGGCATGCTTGACAGCTTGAGCTTGAGGCTGACCATCAGCGGGCAGTTATCCCTGAGCGAGGCTAGGAGCGGGCCCAAGCTGCTGCTTCTCTCACGTGTTCAAACCTGTGCTAGGCGCCACGTCGGTGAAGTCTACTTTACAGAGGCATCTGTCACAAGCAAACACCTATAAGTCCATTTGTCATCGACCTTGGCAAGATCCTTTTGCCGCAAACAACTCAGTTGGCAGCTCCCTGGCTCTGCCTGCACTGGGTCACCGCACTCCTGACGTCTCCCCTGGATTAAGCTTTTCTTTAGCTAGGGATTATTCTGTAACACAGAAAACATCTCCAACGGTCCTCTGAAAAGGGGAGGCCCCAGTTCAACTGCCCGGGACTTGAGGACCAATGCTCAGTCCGCGTTCAAGCCTCTCCCTTCCTTGAAAACATTCCTAGAAAGAAATGTGCAGCCGAGCACGTCACAGCTTAGCCCTTCAACAGCATGCAACAAAGGGACAGGCGGGACTGGAGCACCTAGTTTGGACAGGAAAGGAACTGGACAGACCTATCTAACACAGAGGGAAAAAAAAACATAAGCCCCTCATGTCTCATGGACACATATACTGTATGTTGGAGTACTTGATTAAGCATGGATCCTTCTCCCATTCCTTCTGCCCCTTATCATCTTGTTTGTTCTGACAGACCCTTCTTCTTAACTTCAATCTTTACTGGCCAGGAAAATTCCTGGTTGTAAACCAGCTATTTTACTGCTTGATCTATGTTCATCTGAATGCTAGCTCAAGCAGATGAGTTCAGCCCTATAACTCATAGCAGGTCTCCCATTCAGATGGATGATCAGCCATTTAAAGGCCATCTATTGCTAGCCCTCTTCTAGCAGCAAAGGTTTGGTATGAAAAAAATTTGGTCTACAAACAGAAAGCAAGGGGCAAAGTCTCCACATGGAACGTTTCTACTCATCTTTAAAATTGTACTGACTACTTCACAGTCTGTAAAAGCCACCATTCTCACAAAGTATTTTCTATGTGAAAAAAGCTAACAGCCTCCTACCCCAAAACAAAACACAAACAATAGGTGGATATCAATACAGCAGGAAAGTTACTGTTATATCATAAAATCGTTGTGCATTGTACCACATGTTCATTTCAAAATGACATTTTAATTATGCTAAATGAGTGATTTAAGTCAGTGCTTATCAAACCCAAGCTGTACATGGAAAAAAAAAAAACAAAACAACTTCTGATTAAATAACCTCTGTGTTGCAAGTCAATATTTTGTACTAAATTTTCCATTAGAAGTTCTAATAAAAATGATTAAAATTTTCATCCGAAAAGCAAGTATTATATAGCCACATAATACCTCTGAATGTTGTTATACTGTTATCAAGATGTATATTTAAAGATTTCTTAAGCAAAAGTAATTTAATTTACTTCTAATCTAGTTTGTTGACTTCACATTATATATTGCAATATACTTCCTTAGGTGCAGCAGTTTTACACTTTAAATAGCATATAAATTATGGAGAAAATACCACCAACAAATTTGTAACATACTCAAAATGCAGAAATATAAATATATACAAATTAATTCAGAGTCTTTCTTCAGCCTCAGTTTCCTGTAAAAACCTGTGAAAAGTTTTACCAGTTGTTTTAACTCTGTATAATTTTGGTAAAAAATCTTGTTTGCAGGATTTATTATTCAAGATATGCTATTGCAAGATCTTATTCAAAGTTTCAGTATCTAGTGCAATAATATAGAGGTTAAGCATAACTGTAGTCTATGATTTGTACATGTGTACACAAATGCCCACGCAATACATGATTCTACTGCAACTGCAACTTTTTGGTGTCCTAAAAGTTGATGTTGTGCCCAGGACTTTCAAAAAAGTCCTTTCAAAAAAGGACTTTCCATTTCGCTGTCTTGGAATATTTAAAGTAGAGCACCCAAATAATACATAAGGCCCTAAAACTGGAAAGCAGCACCTGTAACAGAATATGCATAAATGGAAAAGGAAAAATTTACTACATAAAAGCAGAAATACCTTCCATTCAGACTGAGAAAAAAAAAAAACATAAATCACATCTTCTGTATTAAGACATTAATTTGCACTTAGAGACATAACAATTTAAAGCACACTAAATTTAATACTGCGTAACACAGGTCTCACTATTCAAAAAGCACACATGTTAAAAGCAGAGTTTCATACAAAAACCTGCATTGTTTTCAGATTGCTTCTTTTAGCATTACCAACCTGATTCAGAGCAACTTCTGCTAGGCAAACTTCTGCTTCTCTTGCCCAGTCCTGAACTTCTGTAGTCCTAAATGTCAGAGTAATAATTGAACGTGAGTTTGTTGAAATATTCTCTTAAAAGCAAGCTGCTGCGGCAGAGGGGGTGGAGGCTCCACAGCCCCAGGTGATTGGAGAGCTGGGAGCTGGCAAACGATTTACCCAGCGAAGGCGGGGAGGGAGAAAGTCTTGCTGCTGCTCAGATAAATCATTCCCACCCTCTTCACATCATAACATCTCATCAGGATGCCACTTTCTACACTGGAACACCCCTGTCTGCTTACATACACAGTGAGAAGGTACTCCTCATCCATCCCCAGGGGACTCTTTTTAAGCATCCTGGATGACAAGAAAAGTGGGAGTGTAAAACTTTGACATGAAATCTAAGTCTTCCCAGCTTTCACATTTGCTGCCCTTGTAAAAAGCAATTTGACTTTGAAGTGTGCTGAGCCCTTTGAGCATCACTTTGCAACACTTTGAAACCTGAATCCTAGAGCATAGCATGAAAACTGCTTTTGCTGAGTACATTTTAAAATATAACTAATTTGAAAAGTATTGCTGTGGTAAGAAACAAGAGAGGAGCCTCTGTTTACAGTGTGGTTAGAGACCATTCTGCTGAACTGGGGTAGACACACCATATAGCTTCTTCTACTTTATATGGCTTGAAATGTAAAAAATTTAATTCAGTCTAATGCTGAAGACTGGAATTAGAATAGTCCAAATATTCCTGTGACACGATCAATAAATAATACCCAGTTTCTTAAAAATTAGCTTCCAGAATAAACTAAACTCCAATGGATAATATACAGCTGTATTTTTATTACTTTCAGTGGCAGACAACCCCGCCCCAAACAAGCGATAGAATTTCCAGTCAACATTATTCACAGTATATTGTTTCTCTTAAAATGCTTGTCTTTCAGGATCTCTCTTTTTGTTCAGAGAATATTAAAAAGATGCTAAAAGGCATAGGGAGGAAAGCCCCAGTGATGTCAATGCTCCTGCTTCCCCTCATGCAGAGCAAATCCCTGCTAAATACAAATGGTGTCTCCTTCCTAGTTAAGCCTTGCCCACTTCTGAAGTTAAGGGAATCTCCTTGTTCTCATAACTCTGCTTTCCAGCAGTTGCATGGTACCATCTCCACTGTAGATGTCAGACCTAATTGCCAGGAGCTCATTATCAACCCCATTCTCTTATCTCCCTCTTTAAATCTTAGCCTTGGAAACATCCAGTCAGAACACAAAAACAAGTTATGATTGAGGTTTAAGCCACTAATCAGTTTTCTTGGGTGAAAATAGAAAGAAATAGCTATTAAACAGCATCATTCTCACCCATTACAGTATCTAGGCATTTATTTCCCAATGTTTCAGCCTCTAGGAAGTCCACTAATAACTTGGTAATTATTTGTGTGGATTATAGATAACAACCTCAAGGCTAGTGCTGAATCATTTCCAACTATCCATTAGAAACTGTTGTTAATGCATAAATTAATTTATAAATAATGGGAAAACATTCCTCCTTAAAATAAATAAATAAATAAATAAATACTGGCTTTCCAGTAGGCTCCTGCTGGGCTAGTGCTGATGCACTGCACTGGGCTATGAATTTCTGCCACACCTAGGGCTGGAACCACTCTCTGGCATATCACCACATGTAAATAGTTCCCAAGTGGCTTTATTAATAAAAGACAAAAAAAAAAAAAAAAAAAAAAAAAAGAGAGAGAGAGAGAGAGAGAGAGAGAGAGAGAGAGAGAGAACTACTGCCCACTACTTCCTAAATGTGGCCATAGATGTGGTAGTGAGAGGAGAACAGGCCCAAATTTAAGCAGGGGAACTGGAATTCCTTATTTCCAAGAAGGTAGAACAAGCTGAAGAAAGTAGTTTAATTTCAAACTTGCATTCTGATAGACTTATTAATTCCCTATAATCATAGTTCTTGCTATAGCATCTAGGAAACACCTATAAAATCTCTTACGGACATTTTATGCACTGTTTGAATTTGCAGATACACACATTTCAAAACCTCTTGCACTGCGCAGAATTAGCATAGACCTGTCAAGGGCATGTTGTCATATTCACAGAGCAAGACAAACAGTTCTTGGTATTAAATACACAAACCTGGTCAGACTGAGGCCAACAGCATAACTGCAAGTTATATCGTTGGGGTCAGGATTTGATTCAAAATAAGGACTTTGAATTAGGAAACAGAAGGAAGTAGATAGTAACGACAGAAAGGACTAACCCTTATGCCACCAACAGTACACAACCACAGCATGACACAACACTGCTCACGCTTTTCCACAAGAAGTATTTTAGGGATGTCGACTGTTCCCAGACGAGCTGCAGTATACCTACACAGCTTCTGCATGACTTCCATTGGGAGACCACAGGCTGGGAGCAAACCAGAAGCTAATTTACCTGCCAGTGTAGACAAACCCTAAGGATACTACAAGTACAGAATTCTCTAATAATTCCCTGACTTCCTATAGTATTCTGAACAGTCTATACATGTATGTGTCTTATGCAGGGAGCAACCCCAAACAAAAACTCTTCCAGTTTGGCTCATGGTTTGTTTCTAGTTACAAATCCAACAGTGTCCTGACCAACAACATTACTTTATAGCTTCAGTTTTGGCTTTAGAGAGCTTTGGTTTTGGCATTTTCAGCTCCTTAGCAACTACATCGTACTTGGACAAGGCACTAGATTAATCCAACAGTTCTCTGACTCCAGGGATTTTTGCAGCTCACTCTTGCCATAAAGAATTTGATCAGAAATTCTCTTCTTGCTATGAAACAGCTGACCACATTAGAAAGGATGAACTGTAAGAGAGAACTATTTTGTGTGTTTTATTTTGCTACAGAAGGTTCCTTTAAGACTTTCTTTTCTCGTGTCAGAAGAATACGAAGATATTGACAGAGATTTATTCAGAACTTTATGCCCAGGGAATTGAAAAAAAAAAAATTACATTCATTTGCAAAAAGAAACTCTTGCACAGACTAAACCAAAATACTGTTGGAGCCCAAATGACAAACGGTCTGATTAAAAGCTGCTCTGCTGTTGTCTCTGACTTGTCTCACAGCTCCAGGCCAAAAAGGCATGCCGTTTTACATAACCAGAGGTGTTAGCTCTGCAAAAGCGTATCCACGTGCTTGTCCATATGGCTACCCATATTGTGTGGAAGTTAAACATGAACAAAAGTGCTGGCAGGACCGGGATCTAAGTGAACCATTACAATTCCTCGAACAGAAATCTAAAATAGAGCCTGCTGCTTCGCCTTGGAAGTCAGGACTTTGCAGCCAACTGTAACAAAGGTAACTTAACATCCAAAAGAAAAAAAGGAAAACACGAGATGGTTTGTACAACTTGTGTAACTCCAACAGGATTTGGAAAGATGTATTAGCATTTGTAAAAGGATTCATGCAGTGCCAGCAGGAATCTTTTCTGTGTTGAGATAAATAAAGCAATGAGTGTCTTGATGTAATCTGCTACAATGATCCCGTATGTAGGCATTCAAGTCTCTCAGTCAGGTATCTACACAGACACTTGTTTCCATTGGATGCCTTAAGATCCTTGAGAGCAAAAATATTTTAAAACGTAAAATATTAAAAGATTTATTATTTTGAAATTCACTGAAGTTCTGGAGTATTAATTCATACAAATTTTAAACATGCTAGATCAATGTCCCAGAAACTTCTGCAATGCTAGTAGTGGCTCTGAGAGCTGATATCCATGTTAACTTGAACTTAGGAGAAAAAATGGCTCCACTCCAAGACACAGCAGAGACAGCTGCTTTAACTGCAATGAGTCAAAACTAATGAAGTTCTAAAAGCAGAGGAACAAACTGCAAGCTAAAGTACTGTCTAGAGTATTAGAGAACTAGTTATGTATTCTTTCAGCACACAGGCTTTTGATTTTTTATTGCATGTAAGACCATGTGTCATTAAGAGGGCTCATTTCTGCATATGAAAGATCTATTGATGAGGGCAAATAGATCTGGCAAGGAATTTTCTGACTATAAAACTGGAAAAATCCATTTACTGAAGCCAAATATTCCCATAAGAACAAACCAGATTCAACAGAACACAAAATTTAGAAAAAAAATAGTCCAATTAACTATCTGTGAGGATATGCATAGCTCCCACATCTGAATATTCTTCATAGCATTAAGAAAAATGAATCTGTATTTACATATGAAAATGAAAGCCCAGCTTCCCCCCCCCCAAAAAAAAAAATAATCTATGTGCTAATCTACATAAAACAATCATAAATATGTGAGGGGAAAAAGAATCCTTACAAAACTCAATGGTAAATTAGACTAACCCTATAATGTTGTGATAGTATTGTTTCTGAAGAAACTAAATTACAATTCCACAGTCTTTAAAGGGCTTCCTATTTATTACAACACATTTACTTCAGGTTGCTTCTCATAATTTAAGCAGCCTACTGAAATTACTTCCTACAGAATGTGGTACAGATTAAAATAAATTATCTCTTGCCAACTCTCTCAACTTTTTGTTTAATAATTCTCCTTCACTTTGTACTTAGAAAGAAAAATACCTCAAATCTTGACCTTCCGTACGAGAAATGTAACACATCCTGTTGAATATATTATTAGACTAATACAGGCAGGAAGAATAGATCTGCTAAACTGCACTTCATGTGTAACAACACAGAGGGCTACATTAGGCACAAATTCCTACTAGCTATTTTGACCCAGGAATGAGTCATTTAACCTAATATTAAGCACGTCCCAAGCTACTACCAGCTATCATCTGCTGATCTCCCAATATTCCCAAAGGGGCTACAGGAACTGTTTGCAGTGCTGACTCATAGAGCAGTCCCCGAGTCTAAAATCAGTTTTGGAGAAGCCTTGAAGAAGGAATGTATCTATTTAAAGCCATGCTCTCTAAAAAAGAAATAAATAAAATAAATCCACACATGCTTTCTGGCCTGAATCCACACCTTGAGTTGAGTGCAAATACAAATAGGGAACTTAGATAGAAAAGCTTGTAACATATACAAAGAAGAGCAAGAA